GGTACTCAGGAAGGGGAATTGCGTCTCTCGAGAAGACAGAACGGGGAGTTGAGGAGGGAGGAAGGGTGAGTCGAAGCAGCCTCTAGTCGTAGTGGTCGGTGTCGAGGGGACGTGAAGAAAGTACCTCGGGACGGGGGACGTGGGCCGACGAGGGCGAGCGGTGGGAAGGTGCCTATCAGCGGGAGGGTTCTGGATGGTGTGTCTCGTGCAGCTCTTCGAGTCAGGGTGCCGATGGAGAGACGCTTGTGGTCGTAGGCGGAAGAGGGGACGGAGGTGGGCGCCGGAGGGGAGCGGAAATAGGACGAGCGCGAGCGCGGCAGCGTGCGCGGGAAGCGCTGGGTGGAGGAGGAGCGAGGCGAGGGGCATCGCGACGACAGCGGCGAGATCAGGGCGCTGTCGGGATCGAGCATGAGACGGTCGTCGCCGTCCAGGGCCAGACGGGCGGGCCTGGAGGAGGACGGCGAGGAAAAGGAGAAGTCTTCGAACATTATCGCATGGACTGAGGGGGGTGGTGGGTGGATAGGTGGCCTCAGAGGGAGAGTCCGCGATAACGGACGGAGGGGAGGTAGGGGGCTAGAATAGGAGGGAGAGGGCGAGGCACATGGGCTCTAAATGGACAACAGGCGTTCCTGGGAATTATATGGAACGAACGGATGGTGGCCACGGAAGAAAGAATTTTATGTTGAACAGAGAGCGAGACAGTGGTGGCGAGAACGTCCAGATCTGGAACCGTTTGGATCCCGCGGCAGAAAGGAGTCCGGCTGGGGGGCGCTCATTTCGCACCAAGCAAGGAACTATATCCAGGAGAGAACTAAAGGAGTGGATGATTCTCTCACAGCCAGACTGTCGATGCTGATTCTCCTGAATCATCGTCAGGGGTAAACGATAAACGAGATTAAGAGAGGCAGAATTCAAGAATAGAAACTCAATCGACAGAGCGCGAGACAGGCCAGACCGCTGACTCATCGTCGCATAACTACTTAACCAGCGAATAATCCCGAATTATCCTCCCATTATTGATCATTATTCACATAAAATAGAATCTTAATAAAAGGGGGGAGTTTAGGACAGATCATACTCCTCCTACTCCTACTCTGCACTCTAATATTAATCAACAAGCCGAAGTCCATATCGAACCTCGGCTAGCCGACCGTTAGACCCAGTCGCTTAATGAACTCCTCGCTCGCTTCCCGATAGATCATCTTTGTTCGACACTTGCGGAGATTATGCCCAGAACAGATAGACTCCCCACTCACTATTAAGGAGGCGACATAGTCGGAGTAGATAGACCCTCCGTCCTCCCGGTACGAGTCTTATGCATGCCAGGTTACACATGCCAGGTCCATTATTTACATATGGCTCAATCTCTCGACTCAACATACTTCTTGAAATCCTCGTTGAATCTCTGGAACCCTTTCTCCGTGCTCGCTGCCGAGAGCAGCGAGAACACCGGCACCAAAACACCCCCAAACTCCTCTGCATGCACAAACCGTGTCTTCCCTTCGCCCGCAGGGAGAAACTTGAAGCTGTGTGCGCCGGTGAATAGCCAGGTACTGCCGAGGGTACCGCGCCAGGTGAACTCCGTCGATGAGTTGACTTCCACCACAGGAGTAAATGTCATGTTACCGGCAATGACGGTGAGTCTGTCACCCGGCTCGATGTCCTTCTTTTCCTGGTTCTGCGGCACGACCTGCTTGAGGAAGTCGGTGTGGTAGGTCGGTATCGCCGCGAGGTTCAGGAACTGAGGGATCATTAACAGCCAGAAGTGGCCATCTGGAGAAGGCGCTTACAGCCTCGCGAGCCACCGACGGGGGAGCCTCGATTTCAATCTCGGTGTGCATTATATCGTGTTGCTTGAAGGTTTGTGTGTGGATGCAAAAGGCAACGTATCCCACCCCTCCTTACTTATAATCTTTTCTACTCGTACGGTATTAGCCAGCATCACTGCCTAGTCTCGGGGTGGTGTGCGCGCAGTCAAGGTTCCTGGAAAAACAAAGGCCACGAGTGTCGGATTCCGGAAGCGTAAGCACTAGACCGGTGGAAGCAGCATTGATTGGGACACCACCTAAGCCTTCCAGCCAAGCTACTTCTCAATCCTATCGTTGCATGTAGGGAGACCACTAAGAGTTCCCCTCGAGGGTTGAGTAAAGAACTGGGTTTAGCCAGGAGATGCACTAGATTGTACGTTCCGTGCGTAGTAGTTACCTTGTGACTTGGGCTTTGACATGTCCTGTGGCTTGGAGGATTCTATCGTTCGTATATTTGGTTTACTAGGGTGTTTTAGACTTCAACACGTCAATTCAACGGCCTTTCACCGTTCCTTCAAGCTTCCCATATCAACCTATCATAAAGTCTGCATATACAAGGAGCATCCAATAATTCCAGGCGCATTATGACGCCCTTGACTGATACTCAAACAGCACGTCACGAGTCATACTAGATATTGACTTTTAATCATTATCATATGGGTTCAAGTCCCGCAAGTCTTAATTAATAAAAATGACTATCGAGTCATTTTCCATTAACTAGAATACTGCTCGTTAGGAAAATTCTCCCGAAGCAGCGCCTTGAGTTGCTCAAACTCTGTTCCTCCGACCATGTCACGAAGGGCATCTCGGCGGAGAAAATCATGATCGTTGAAGTCGAAACCCGGAACGACCGTCTAGGGAGATTAGCCAGCATTCTTGTCTCAGGAGTAATCCTAAGATGACACACCTCACTGATCAGCAGGACCGACGAACTCGGATCATCATCGTCTGGGAGGAGAAAGCTCGCTTTGTAGCTCCCACCATCAACAACCCACTGAAGCTTCTCGCCTTTGGCAACATCATGTCCCACAGCAAACGTATCAATGTCAACTCCGTCGTCTTTCGGCGTCAGAGTCACATACATTCCTCGCCCACGGTGGAGGTTATGAACAGTCTTGCTTCGATTCCGATGGAACGCCCCAATAGGGCTCCGCGGCGTGAGACAGTAGAATATCGATGTGCTCAGGTGTCTTTTGTTGTCAGGCGAGGCAGAGCCGTCGGACTGAACTGCCCTCACGTCTTCTTTCGACGTTAATGCCACCTTCTGTTCATCCCTGTCCGTTTCCGCAAAGTACCCGCCTTCGATATGCGGCTTGAGTTCCAAAGAGCGGATTAGTTTCTGGACACTCGGGGATTCTGTCGTTGGGTCCCCCATGGAGCCAGAAGCCCTGGGGAGCTGGGGCCGGATATCCAACATGGTGGTTGTCTTTTTTCCGGTTGCAGTGGTGTAAAATGGGGTTCCAACGAAACGCCGGTCATTTCTTAAATATGACCGACTTCGTTCGACGTCTGAAGTATACTTCCCGTTGTCGCCACAGGGTCGCGCTGGAACCTGATGAGCCGATGACGTTTGAGGATACCCTTCTGAATGATCCACAGAAAAGGCCCACATTCCCGTGCAGACAGAGATATCGCTTTTATTGATGGAACTATTTTCCAATACATCCATGAACGCCACATTCGAGAATTTCGCAGTCATGGTCCCGACAGTGCGGAATGTACCGACATGTACCGACATGTGTTGGTCCAGGGAGTCTTGCTTTCCAAGATTCTGTGCCTGATATCCTGCTTCGTGAATCAGTCAAACTTAAAACCTATCCGCTTCACTACCAGAGATCCAACCGGTCTATATGGATTCTCCAAAATCTATGACGCGAGGCAGAGGAGCCATTGCCTACTTTGTATGGCTTGGCACAGGCATGTGCCTGCCTACATCAAGCCATGCTGCAAGTGACGCTCTAGGGTCTCGTGGAAGACGGCGTACTCCGAAAGGAGTGATTCTGGACCTCAATCGCTGTTTGGTAGGCCGCTTGTCCTGCCTTGGCTTGCCATTAGATCGGCCCTCGTCCGATCCTCCCGTGAGATTTGCGTAGATCTAAGATCGCGATCGGAGATCCGCCTCTCCTACGATACCTTTTATGTATGACGACGTTTTTGGACTGAGTCCAATGCGTCCATTTGGATACCCGCAGGAGGCAAAATATATCAGGATCTTTCTTGTGGTTGACTATCATGAAAGCGGTCCTGACAAGGCATCACATCCGATACTAGGGGTGGTAAGCTATGGATTCAACACAAAATCAGTGGTATAAATGGGCCATGCGTCACTGAATATCTGACTTGGGCAAATTTTGTCTTCGAACCTTCTGCATAAAGCAGACCATTGGCTTTATCAAAGTTACCCTTAGATCTAAGTTAAGGGCATGCAGTGATGTCCTACGTCCGGCCAAAGGAACTCCCACTAAGATCTGTGAGATACAGTTCTCCAGTCGCCATGCGCCCTGAAACCAACGGCTGCCAACGTCGAAATGTCCCTAGGTTCATGCTTATCGGCGCAGGCCCCTTCGCTCAGAAGACATACATTCCGTATCTCAAGTCTCTGGAAGAAGATGGCCGCGCCCGTCTGATGGCCGTTGTAGAGGTCCACGGGATGGAAGAGACAGTACGCGAAGTCACTCACCACGACTTCCCGGATATCCACTCCCTTTTCGTCCCGGCCTTTACGGCATCCATCCCAAGGGTTACATATAACAGACTATCCGAGGTTGTTGCTCAGCTCCACATCGACTGCGTCATCATCAGTACAGAGCCGCTGGCACATACGGCGTACGGACTGTGGGCGTTGCAGCAGGGGCTGAACGTGATCATGGACAAGCCAATCTCCACGCGAAAAGGTGCCTGTACAGACCCAAATGCAGCACTCGGGATAGCCGACGATTACAAGAACCTCCTATCAGCCTACGAGAAGCTCCAACAGCGCAAACGGACGTGCTATCTCGTCCAAAGTCACCGCCGGTACCACCCTGGGTTCCACTTCCTCCTCCACAAGATCCGCCAGCTCCAGAAATCAACGCTGTGTCCCATCACCAGCCTGAATTCCAGCCACTGCGACGGCATGTGGCGAATGCCGCATGAGATCGTGGGCCAGGAATACCACACGTTCAAGAACGGCTACGGCAAACTCTCCCACAGCGGCTACCACCTCCTCGACGTCTCCTCCAAGTTCATGCGGTCGAGCTGGGGCGGAGGGCAGGACCCTACGAAAATCCCAAACAAACTCGAAGTTATCAGCAGTTTCATCACCCCCGGCGGGTTCTACACGGCGCTGAACCGGTCAGACTACGAACGTATCTTTGGGGTGGAATACGTGCGCCGCCAGGATTACTCCGACGATGAGCTCTGGCGGCTTATGGATGGCATGGGAGAGATCGACTGTGGCATTCTGATGACGGCGTACCATGATGACCGCCCAATCTGCCTTGTTCAGCTTAATCTGCTGCACACGGGGTTTTCGCGTCGCAGCTCCGTGCAAACAGGGTCCGATCTGTACCGGGGCGTCGGGCGTGTGAAGCACGAGTCGCACGATATAAAGTGCGGGCCGTTCCAGACCATAGTCGCTGAGTCGAGAAAGTCCTCAGACAAGGGCGTGTCTAGTCACCTGCCCAGCTCGTCCATTGGAGGCGAGGACCATTTTGACGTGAATATTTTCCAAAATAACGGCCTTTTGGGGAATGAAGACCCGGTTATCCAGTCGTATACTATGGACGACATTCTGAGGGTGTATCCGGCCATGTTGGGGGATACGTCCGAGAAGGTCAAGCGAGGAGTGCTCGAGGAGTCTCTCGACTTTATGAGCGGCAAGGTAAACGTTGACGGTCTGGCTTCCAACCTGCCTGATCATGCGCTTCCGGCATATATTATGAGCGCGGCGTATCTGTCTCACGTTCGGAAAACAATGGGTCAGAATCCTGCAGTTACAATAGAGTTGGATGATGATTGCCAGCATCTTACCATAGTTTGATACACAGGCCAGTTTTGGGGGGTTTCCCATAGTACAGAGCTATATTATAAATAATCAAACGGTGCACAACAATTCTGTTTACTAGCCCTTAACTAGCAGATATTCATACACCCAGAATGGGCTCACTGCACATCGGAATTGCCCTTGGCCATGATCTCCGCCTTCTTAGAGTTAAGGAAGGCCATGAACTGCTCGTCCGGAATCGCCCTAGGCGGCACTGTGTAGCCCTTCTGGACGGCCTCCCTCTGGACAAGAGTGTCATGCCATTTCTTCAGCGCCGGCCATTCGCTCAGGTCGAAGTCCAGCAGCATCGGAGCCACTCGCACCCACTCAAAAGAAGCAATATCAGCGATCGTATACTTCTCCCCCGCCAGATAGGGTGATTCCTGCAGACGGGCTTCCATGACCGAGTACAGACGCCGGGTCTCTTCTGTGTATCGCTCGATGCAGAAATCAGACCGTACAGACGCGAAGAATACAAAGAAATGGGCTTGCCCTATTTGCCACGTGTGAGGATTTGCATCGTCACTTAGGGCCGTGAAGATTACCTTGCATCGGGCCCAGGCCGCCCACCTGCCACATCACCCAGGCGAGTTGCGTGTAGTACTCTGGGGTGCCCGGAGCGTAGCTGATCTTCCGCTCGGTGTCGTACTTGTCGACGAGGTACTGCATGACCGCACCGCTCTCGAAGACGTGTTGTTCGCCATCAGTGATGGCTGGGATGCGTCCGTTCGGGTTGATCTTCAGGAACCATCTACAAGCTAATGTTAGAGACGAAAGTAAAGGCTAGAGAGACACGCACTCCTCCTTTTGTTCTCCCTTTTGAAGATCGATAGGGCGGAGTTTGTAGGGCAAACCGAGCTCCTCAAGTGTCACGGACACTTTGAACCCGTTGGGGGTAGGGCTGGTGTAGAGAGTGATATCCGGGGTCGCCATTGTGCTGCGATGGCTCTGCAACTGTCTGATAGACAATACGAGCTTATAGGTATATCCGGACAATGCTAGCTATTTATGGGTTATGGCTCGCGTCAGCCAGTTATGGAGTGCGAGGTGATAGTCCAGCCAGATCTCTGCTGATAAATCAGCTCGTATAGTTGAAGCCATCAACACGGAAGTACAGGGCTCCGAATCCCGAGTCCTGCGTTCTGGAGTAATATCGAGTCCGTGTAAACCATCGTGATCGGAGAGATTCAAATCGCCGAAGTGTTGTTGTATACAACTACCTACAACAGTCTCGACGGACTTAGTATAGCAGAAGTGGAGCCGATCGGACTTCGGCGGGAATTCCGAAAGTCCCCCGCATCAGATACCTCCAACTGAACTCTCCGACTCTCCGTATCAACATCACACTCTCTCTTCTCTTCCCTCCCCCTCTGCTCCATGGCCACTCTGTTGAAGCAGCCCCTGAAGCTGGCCCTGGTGCAGCTTGCATCAGGTTAGTCCCCCGCCCTCCCACACCAACCAGTCAGCACTAACACACATGAACAGGCGCCGATAAGGCTCTCAACCTCTCCCATGCCCGCACCAAGGTGCTCGAGGCCGCCCAGGCGGGCGCCAAACTGATCGTCCTCCCCGAATGCTTCAACTCGCCCTACGGCACGCAGTACTTCCCCAAGTACGCCGAGACGCTTCTCCCCTCGCCCCCGACCAAGGAGCAATCGCCGTCCTTCCACGCGCTGTCGGCCATCGCCGCCGAGGCCAAAGCCTACCTGGTCGGCGGCAGCATTCCCGAGCTGGAGCCCGCAACCAACAAGTACTACAACACGTCGCTGGTGTTCTCGCCCACCGGCGCGCTCGTCGGCACCCACCGCAAAACCCACCTCTTCGACATCGACATCCCCGGCAAGATCACCTTCAAGGAGAGTGAGGTGCTCTCGCCCGGCAACCAGCTCACCGTCGTCGACCTCCCCGAGTACGGCAAGATCGGCCTCGCCATCTGCTACGACATCCGCTTCCCCGAGGCCGCCATGATCGCCGCCCGCAGAGGCGCCTTCATGCTCGTCTACCCCGGCGCCTTCAACCTGACCACCGGGCCCCTCCACTGGTCGCTCCTGGCCCGCGCCCGCGCCGTCGATAACCAGGCCTACGTCGCCCTGTGCAGTCCGGCCCGCGACATGTCCGCCACCTACCATGCCTACGGCCACAGTCTCGTGGCCAACCCCAGCGCCGAGATCCTCGCCGAGGCCGACGAGACCGAATCGATCGTCTACGCCGACCTCGACAACGACACCATTGTCAACACCCGCAAGGGAATTCCCGTGTACACTCAGCGGCGGTTTGACCTGTACCCGGATGTGAGCGCCTAAACTGGAGCGATTAGATAGAGCAATGCACGAATCACGAATAGACTGCACTAAACTGTATCGTATTACGTAATAGGTTCAGTCATTACATGCATAGTAGTCACGTGTGGTGTTGACCAATGATCGCCCCGAACGGGATAAGCGAGAGCCACAGTGGAAATTCCCACCTCAACGCAAAAAAAGCCCCCGTCTGAACTTCCTTTCCGCTCGTTCGACCACTTCAGCCAACAACAGCCGAACGCCCAGATTCAGTGAGTGAACGCAGCCATTCTCGCACGCGGGACCATTGTGCTCGCAGCAAAAGCATCCAACTAACATCCGGGACGTTAGAAATGTCCAACCAGGTCAAGACCGGCAAGAAGCAGCGCTCGGCCATCGCCGACGTTGTGTCGCGCGAGTACACCATCAACCTGCACAAGAGAGTACGTTGAACACCCTCCCCGATCCCGCGACGATGCGAAAAATCATACATTTGTTGGCAAATGGACGGAGAACAAGGCCCCCCCGGATCCGGATTTCAGAGCCTTCCGTATGCTCCGCAGACACCCAACTTCCATCCTTGTGTGGGACACATACAACTGTTGTATAGGCACTGCAAAGGACGCTGCTTGTGTGTGGAGGGACAACGGATCTGGCAGGGGACGGGGGTGGTTCGCGAGCGAGAGGTCTCGTTATCCTCTCGCTCGGTTCAGTCCGACAAAAAAGAAGAATTAGTTTGATGAAGTCCACCTTTATGGCCGCAAAACAACATTTCTTCGCATCGTGCAAGATCTCTTTCATGGCATTCGGGCGGAAGACTAATTTCTCCTTTTTTTTAACCGTTTAGCTGCACGGTGTTACCTTCAAGAAGCGTGCTCCTCGTGCTATCAAGGAGATCCGTGCCTTTGCTACCCAGGCTATGGTAAGTCTCAATTTCTCTGTCGTCGTCATGTCGACAGTATGGGGCGAATGCTAACCTCGTCCAGGGCACCAAGGACGTCCGTCTGGACCCCGCCCTCAACAAGAAGGTCTGGGAGGCCGGCATTAAGGGCGTTCCCTTCCGTCTCCGTGTTCGCATCTCCCGCAAGCGTAACGACGAGGAGGGCGCCAAGGAGAAGCTCTACTCCATGGTCTACGCCGTCAACGTCAAGGACGTCAAGGGTCTCCACACTGCCGTTGTCGACGAGGAGTAAACTGGCTGCTTGAAAAGTTCTAAGAATCCGTCCGGTTTTGCGTTACGAATCATGGGGGTCCTTACATAGCCTGTTTATTTCCTCTTGTGTGTGGCTCGGTTCTTGCTCTGGTTGAGTTGGGACATTTGAATTAAAAAAATTGAAAAATTTTTCAATGACCGAAAGTTGTTGAATAATATACCCCAATTTCTATCTCTCCACTTCGAATACTCCGTAAAAGACAGTTATCAAATCCATTGTAACCATACGCTATGCTAAACTGCCGTCATCGACAATGCTCGGGTGCCAAATGCAAGTCACTAGTTACACAGTCAAGGTGGGCAGCAGAAACTCACAACCTTCTAGCAAAGAAAAGCCAACAGGTTCAGTCAATCTTGCATTCAACAGGTGGAAGGAAATGCGCCACAGCCCAGAAAATCATGAGGTCAGAAATACACTTGTGAATCAGAAAGCGCCTGGGGCGGATGGGAAAGAAACAAGCGAGAAAACATGCAATATGCAGCGGTTGCTTTTCTTGTCGACAAAGAGAGTCGATCAAAGCGCAAAGTGAAACAAAACAAAAACAGCCCATAATACATCGCCGGATACTAGTATCAACCTGAAGAAAGGAAAAAACAACTCAACCCTGTCCAAAATGCCGTCAATGTACTTACTCCGTGACGCAGAACAAAATCACAAAACAGTGGCATCTCCCAAATCAGGTCTTCGTCTCTTGCATCGCAGCACCCAGACGCTCGACGTCCTCCTTTTTCACGCGGAGGGCCCACTGCTCTGGTGGTCCCTCGGCCTTGGGGACGAGGAACTGAACGTTGTTGCCGCTGACCTTGTATTCGATGGCTTTCATAAGAGCCGCGTTCAAAACGACGTTTCCGCTGGGGTCAGCCCGGAGAATAACGCGGCCGCGAGACGTGGTGCGGTCCTTCAAGACACGGAGAAATCCAACACCTTGGCTTTCCCAGGACTTGTCAACAAACTTCAATCCACGAGCACGAGTCTCAATAACGACGTCCTCGTTCTCTTCGCCCGCCCGGCTGCGCGCAAGATCAACTTGGGGCAATTTCTCCGCCGCATCACCATCGCCAGACTCCTCCGCGCCAGTGTCCGAGGTCACACCAGGGGTCGACGCCCGGCTAGGAGTTGCAGAGCTGACGCTCGACGGCGCCAGGAAGGACGAGGACTGCTGGGAGGGACCGCCGAATGAAAATCCGAGAGACGGGGTCCCACTTCCCGTAGCAGCCTTCGAATCCGATGCGCCATCGCCTCCAAACAAAGTAGAGAAGGGCTTGGATGTATCGGCCGCCCCAGACTCACCATTCGACGCCGGAGTGGAGGTGGAGTTGGCGAACTTGATGGGAGAATTGGGCTTCCAGGTCTTGTCCGTTCCTTGGTTCGCAGCAAAGATAGATGGCGTGCTCGCACCGGAGGCGCTAGGAGTTGGGGAGCCAAACAGACTGCCAGCCGGCTTCGCAGCACCAAAGATGTTGGGAGTGGCAGGCTTCGAAGCGGAGGCATCGCCTTGCTCGCTTTGAGGTTTTCCGAAAGTGAAGGGGTTGGGCGTAGAGCTAGTGGAGTTCACCGGCGAGGAGAACTTTGTGTTGTTGAAGAGGCCCGAGAAAGGGTTCTTTGGTTCTTCTTCATTCTGGCGCTTGGGCTTCCCGTCCTGGTCATACTGGACACGGTCAAACAAACTGCGACCACCAGAAGCGGGTTCGGTGGCCTTCTTGGAGTTCTGAATCGCCTTCGTGAGGTCGCCATCGTCGCCGCTCTCGTTTGCAGAGAACTCAGCCACGCTACCAGAGACAGCCTTCGACTCAGCTTCGCTCGTTTCGGCATCCCGGGCGTTATCATCCTCACTTGTAGCACCGAACGAAGACTCTTTTGTGGCATCACCCTCATCGCCGTCGGAAGCTTCTTCAGTGTCATCCGCGTCGTCTTCTTCCGCCTCAGAGGGGGTAGCGGACAGGTGGCCGAAAATGTTGTTTGACTTGACAGGAGAAGCACTCTTCTTATCAAAGACCGAAGCACCACTTGACGAGGCAGCAGGGGCAGCCTTGTCTTCCTTCTCAGTTGCATCACTAGCTTCGTCCTCGAACACGAATCCCTTTCCAGGAACAAACTTGGAGCGCTTCACGGATTGAGATTGAAGCTCCTTCAGCTTCTTCTCACGCTCCTCAGCATCCCGACGCTCCCATTCAGCCTCGTCCTCCTCCTCGGAATCAAAGTCCTCGGCCTTGCGCTTGGCCTTTTCCTTCTCGGCATCCTTCTCCGCCTGTTGCTTGAACTGAGCAAAGAAATCCGTGGTACCGGAGCCAAACTTTGGCAATCCTGGCGGAGGGGCTGCAGAAGTCGAGCTCTGTCCGCCCGTGGGCTTCAGGACGAAAGGATTCGCAGGAGTGGAGCCGGTCGACGGTGCAGTGGACGCCGGCTTGGGGGTAGTAGAGAAGAGAGGTTTCGAGCCGGAAGCCTCCTTGGTTGTGGTTGGCGCGGAAAATAGGGGCTTTGCTGGTGAGGTCGTGGGAGTCGTGGAGAACAGAGCGGGCTTGCTTGTGTCAGGAGTAGAAGGCTTGGCAGCCGACGCGGTAGTCGACTCAGGACCAGATTCCGAAGTCTTAGACTTAGAAAAGGATTGCGCGAAGATACTGGCCGTTGTAGAGTCGCCATTCACGCGCTTTTCGGCGGGAGCTGCGCTAGTCTCATCTTCAGTCGACTTGCGCTTGGTGGCTGTGGTGGGGGTGCTGGCTCCAAAAAGTTTAGGCGGAGGGGGCGTGCCACCCTTGGCGGCCGATGCTGCATCGGAAGGTAGGCCAAATGGCTTCGTCTTCTTGGAAGCTGGTTCTGCCGTAGATACTCCCCCATCGTCCCGAGACTTGCGCTTGCCACCAACGGGGGCGCCAATAGTTTCACGGACACGCGTGTAGAACTCGATAAGACGGTCGAAATCATCCGTTGCCGGGTTCAAGCGAGAGAGTTCACGTTGGAAGCTCTCATTCAGAATACGCATGCGGTGCACCATTTCAACATCATCCTTCTCCTTCTTGTCCAGGTTGGCGGGCAGTTTAGACGGCGTAGCTTTGGAGAGACTGTCGACAGCATTCTCCGTCGTGGTGGAGGGTTTCGAAGTGGAAACGGGGCTGTTGATCTTCAAGGGACTCGGGGCAGGCGCGGGGACAGGAGACGCAGGTGCCTGAGGTTTATCTGTTGTCGATGTAGAGAAAGCCGGCGATGGTTGGGCGAAGAGACTGGGGGCGGAGGGCGTGGTAGTAGTAGTAGGTGCCGAGAAGAGAGGAGCTGGAGTGGTAGACTTTGCTGACTCACTCTTCTTCGCTTCGTCACTGGGCTTGGGCGTGAAGAGACCGCTGAACGGAGCAGGGGAAGGAAGTGGCTTCTGCTCCGTTGTTGGCTTGCTTGTGTCTGCGGGCTTTTGTGCAAACAAACTAGCGAAAGGATTTCCCGCGCTGGACGCAGTCTTGTCCTGCTCAGCAGCTGCAGCGGGTTTGGGGGCAAACAAGCTGCCAGTGGAAGGAGGTTGGAATAGACCGCCCGCTGGTGCCGAAGGCGCGGCAGCAGTCTCGCTCTTGGAGAACAAAGACGGGGTAGCTCCGCTGGTGGAAGCTCCAAACTGGAACGCTGGCTTAGGCTGGGATTCCTCGGGCTTTTTCTCTTCTTTCTCGGCAGGCTTGTGCGTGGTGGACGGCGCAGGTGTGCCGAATAGATTCTGGAATGGTGCAGCCGGTGACGCCGCGGAGGGAGTTGCTGCGCCAAATAGAGACGTGGAGGGGGCGGGAGTTGTGCTGGCTGCAGCGGGAGTAGTGGATGGAGCAGGTGTGGTAGCGGAGCTGGGCTGGGTGGTCGCGCCGAACAACGATGTTGAAGGGGTAGACTGCTCTGCAGGCTTCGCCCCAAATAGGTTTTTGGCAGGGGTCTCCGCGGGTTTGGAGGTCGGAGTTCCAAACAACGAACCGGCTCCTGGGCTGGCGAAACCCGATGAAGCGCCAAACCCAGATGAAGTAGTTCCAGCGCCGAAGATAGACGGTTTCGATTGTTTGGAATCGGGGGACGTCTGCATGGAGTCACCGAATGCTGTAGACTGACCAAAGGCCGTGGGTTTGTTCGTCGTAGACTGTCCGAAAATGTTCGTCGGGGGAGTGGTGCTACCACTAGTCTGGCCGAAGATGCCACCGGCGATGGGAGCTGCAGATGCAGGTTGAGTAGAGGGCGTGCTCGTGTTTCCAAACAGGCCGCCAGAAGTGTTGTTCTGCTGCTGTCCAGCTCCAAAAAGACCACCAGAAGGCAAGGACTGCTGAGCCGGCGCTGGACTGCTAGTGGCAGGGATGTTGAACAAATTGCCCTTGAAGCCAGAGAAGCTGCCTCCATCGGAGGACTGGCCAGAGCCACCGGTATTCATGCTGGCAAAAGGATTGCTGGCGGCGCCGGAACCGCCAAATCCAAAATTGAACGATGATGATCCACTTGCCTGGCCGAATGCAAATGGGGACGAGCCGTTCTGACTAGGCTGGCTAGGAGTTGAACTAGCTCCTGGGAAGCTTTGTGATTGACCAAATGTAAAGCCGTTCGTCGCCGGTTGAGGCGCGCCAGGTGTACCGGAGACAGTATTAGGATCGAGAGAGTTGAAGGGACCACCAAATGAAGCTCCTGCTCCAGAGGTATTGGGACGGCGTCTTCGAATATCTTTGATTCTGTCGAGATCGTCAGGAATCATGTTTGGTTGTGAACAACAGAGTAATAGAGGAGAGGGAAGTTCATGGGATGGTATGTGAAGAGTGAATGGGAGAAACACTGGGGTGAAGAAAATGACAATAAAACAAGCATCTGTGGAGAATAGGGACCAACAAACAGAAACTTCCAATTCACAACATGAAACTTGCAGAAAAATTGGGGGCGGGCATGTTGCAAAAGGTCGGTCTGCATGGACTTACTTTCTGTTCGCCATCTGCGCAGCGGTCGCCCGCTGTGGCTTATCGTCCGGCGTACTCGACATGTTGAACTCAAATAAATCACTCTCTTTGCTTCCCTGAGGGCCTTGCGCCGTGCGTTTCGACATCTATCGCAACTGGGCCCCTTTCGTCTGGGACTTGCGAAATATCCTCGGCAGGTGAAGTAACGAAAGGCTTTTCAACCCCTTGGAGACCTTGAGCATCGAAAGCCCACGTTCGCATCCACGTACGAGGCTCGACGATCGCCAAGATCGCGATTCAGGTGATTGAAGCGCTACCCTCGGCTTCAACTGCGATTATGACGCCCACTGTCGCGACAGCTATCGAAGCAACCCGCGCACCGCTGGATGGATTGGCCGTGAGGAGGGTCGGACACGACGAACGTTCCGGTGCTGATGTGGCGTCGATATCGAGTCGCCTTGACTACTTACTGAATCGACAGCAAGCTCAAAAGTATCGATCACCGCGGTGTGGGGAAGGATGATCTAAAACGTTTCTCGCAGTTGTTCTGTGGTGCGGGTAAGAAGTGCGCGAAGTGCGCGAGGCCGCCGGAACAAGAAATACGGGGGGCGAACGCGAGGAGGAAAGAGAGAAGGCAGAGCTGAGGAATCTAAAGGGATTTTGTATGGAGGAATAGGCGTGGCCTCCTGTGAACGCGCTCTGCCGGAGAGGAGGATGAAGGAGGGCTCAAGTGGGCTTTTTTGCTCTATTTAATTCGAATGACCTCAAAACTTCGCGGCTTCAGCGAACTTCAAGAAAAAAATACAGTCACGTGATGATCATGGTGAGCGTGGGATTAGATAATCATCCCTCTGTCCCTAGACTGTTTCCCCTGGTACCAATCTGGGCCTTAGACCTCTATACTGAGAAGTCAACATAATCAGACAGCTTTGGATATCAGTTCCTCTATAGACTATGCTCTAGTTGCGTGGCGGTCTAAACAAGACTACTAGGGTAGTAACCGTCGGAGACTTCGAAGGTCCTTTGCTTCTGATTGTATTGGTACTGTTCAGCGATCCGAATTCTGGTGGGTAAGCGGGGCTTATGGTGGTAACCCCAATACCGGGTATTCTACGGTGTGCGCAAAAGTTCCAAGATTGCTGTAAATGCATATGAAGATGACGTCTGCTTACTGCTTGATGCACATCAGTGGGCATGCAGTGGAAATAATGGAATTTATTCTTGGATAAGTTCATTGTGTCTGAACCCTCTTGGGCTTGGGTATTTGATGGTAAAAGCTAATATATGTTGACTTTGCCAATATATATGTTTGCATGGACTTTATGGTAGCGGACAATATATCTCAGAGGGTTGACATGAGAAGCACCAGGTACTGCTGCCATAAACTACCTAGGGAAATCACATACCAAGTTAATGTCATTTAAACGTTGATTATCCTTACCGATGGCGACGCACTCACCAACTGTATTCACCTATACTCCCAAGACGTACAATGACATGGAAACTACCCAGTATCTCTCCTTAGAAACTCGAAATCCCCCAGAGGGATTCCAATTACAAGGAAAGGCTACATCCACTACCTCCTACGACAAGCTCCACACTCAACAGCAAGGAAATAAATCGTTATGTAGTCTCAAAATACACGAGCGAATGACAAACAAGGCAGAAGGGTATCTATAGCTTGGCCTTGCCCTGGGCCTTCTTCATGATGGGCTCCATCTTGGTCGCCTTCATGATGTTGCCCTTAATCTTCAGCTTGCCGCCCATGAACAGGCGCTGAGCGTTGGCCTTGCCGCTGACGAGAGAAGCGAAGTCGGCATCGGACAGAGTGAGGGTGACTGTGAGGGAGAAGGGTCAGTGATTGATGTTCCTTGGTTTCTTGACAACTGTCGGCGAATCGCCGACAGAAACCCTTTCAAGACAAATAAACTCACCATCGGCCTTTCCACCCTTGGGGGCAGCGCCCTTGCCAACCTCACCCTTCTCCTTGAGATCGAGGTACCAGCTCTCCTCCTGACCCTGCTCGTTCTTGAGGTTGAAAGCAACGACAGCCTTGGCCTTGTCGACGGCGTCCTTGCGCTCCGCGGCGTCGGACTGAAGGACCTGGTTAATGACGTCGAAAGCGGCGGAGGAGGGGAAAGCGTCTGGATGGGGTTAGCGATGAGGTCGGAAAGGGAGTCGGATGGAGGACGGACCGTTCTTGAGAGACATGGTGGCGGCTGGTATGGATGAGACGGAGGGATAGGAGAGACAGAGATGTGTGGAGCGAGACAGTAGTAGTGAATAGTAGGGATAATGTCAGGGGAGGTGGAGGAGGATAAATATACCTGGGGGTGACAAGCTTCCCCGGAGGGTTCGGGGCATGTGAATGAATGGAGGCGGTCGGAGGATCCATCAGCCTGTGCTTGGACCGAGGCAGCTGCCACCTCCCGTGATTGGGTATGAAATCATCGCATTTCTTTCTCCTTTCGGTATGGAGATCGAGTCCAAAACAAGACGGAGTTCTTGTTTCAAGGTCTGTCTACGGAGTATGTTTCTACTGTCCATTCTACAACATTCTAGTCTCTTTTGCGCGCTGGATAACATCCTTACCGCCTGAAGACATCCATCCTCCACCGCACAAACGTGGAAACCGGGTAAATTGACTTGAATCTTGCTGGGGGAGCTTTATCCCCAACGGTAATTCGACAGAGAAGATCTGCACTCTAGTATCTCCGCTCCGGTTAGTGTCTTCCATTCACTTCTCAATTCTTATGCACTGGTGGACCGTCCGACCCAGCACGCGTTCAAACAGAGTAGTTATGGTCCGGTAACCATGAACGGATTCGCCCATGATGCGGAGCTCTCCGTGCTAATGGCCTGCCAGAACGGGACAGATGTCATGCAGGTTCTTGGCGCCGCTGAGCTATGTCTGCAATGTGGACAGATGGATTCATGTCCGATTTTATGCGGACCGAGGTCCCTGGTCCACCTGCAGAGGATCTGGCCGGGCTTTCATGTCGACCTTTTTCTAGCAACAAACGTATTTCTTCATATTCGCGGCCGCGTATGCTTTAGGTCCTTTCAAATGGAGAAGAACCCCCTCTCTCGCGATTAGAATTCCATTCTTGACACGAGACTGTTCTGAGTTCTCTAGGCGCAGCAGTCTGAAGGGAAACAGTCCTGGCAGAGGATAAGTATAGTGTCTTATAGACCCCAACTAACTGAATCGCACACGACTGGACAATGGTGAGGTGAGGATCTTCATTCATTTGACCTATTGATTTTCAGCTACTCGCATGGAGCAACAAGGACTGGGCAGTTCAAAGCCCTCTCACGTCCTCAGGTCTAGTCAGAACAGTACCTAATAACTAGGCAGAACTTGAAGTGATTTATGGAATTTTTTTAGAATAATTATCCGGTATTGATTAGGTACCTAGGTGGGTGGTAGTAGTGATGATGGAATGATCTGATGTATCAGCTCATACAAAGAGAAAGCAAAATTGTAAAAATCTGAAAGGGGAAAGATCGCCACTGCCGACGAGCCTCCGACCATCTCGACACGATCACCATCACATCACATCACTTCCACGTCTCTTTACCATTCTCCCGGGAGGAACCCATCTTACCAGTCCTGCATTTTCCTCCGTCCACTCGTTCGGTTGGTCCATTCACTCGAGGTCAACTTCTGTTCCTGACATTCTCCGCCAAGAACGATCAGCAATTGATTAGTTAGGCCGGAACGTCAACTTTCTTTGGGGCGTCGCATCGCGTCTCTTATCGCCGTCAACTATCAACTCTCTTTATAATCCCCCACCACTCCCCATCGCCTCATGGATCATTTAATTCACATCTACTGTGGATAGGTACGGTCCAGCATCTTGTCGTCAGTGGCTGCGCAGTATTTGCCGGTTCGTGGTTCTTTGACCGCCACCTTCAGTGACGGAAAGCTCCTGACACGATCCCAAGCTTGGTCAGCACAGATTGCCAGGTAAAAAGGCTCCCACTTTCCCATTCGCGCATCGCAAGTCTTACGTCGTTTAGGACAAGCGCGTGGGCACCAACCAGGGCCCTTTCAGCCTTTACAAAGAATCAGATCCCTAATCTGAAGGCAGACAACGCACAAAGCAACCATGACTTCATCGGCTGAGGCGATCAACGATGTCTTGGAAGATCTCCAGCTGCACCATGTCATATTGCAAAGTCTCGAAGAGCAACGCCCCGACGCCCTCGAAGAAAAAGAAGAGATCTTAGAGACCATTCGAGGACTAGAAAAGCGACTCGCGGAACTCCGTGGTGAACCTGCGAGGAGCACTCAACGCCGCCCTGCCCGGACTTCCCAAGCGAATTCCACGAGACCCTCCACATCCTCATCGCAACTAGATGGCCCGTCTGACTCGCCCGCTCCTCCCCCGCGATGGGGAAGTTCTGCCATGCTTCCTCCGCGCGCGGAGTCATCGCGTTCTTTGGGACCACTGTCGATTCGAAAGCGCGCGCGATCCTCCCAAGAGGAGACTGAATCCGATGGATCGGACGACACAGATGACCTAGAGATTCCACCGGCAAAACGCACCTGGAACCCAGCACCCCGCATATCTAAATCTCCCCCGCCCTCTTTCGGCTCGCAGGCTTCCCGGTTGGCCGGCTCCGACAGTGAGTTCGAAGGCGCAGATGATCTTGCGCAGATCCTGGGTCTAGATAGCCGTGACACTCTCCTCGCCATCCAAGATGAACAAAGAAAGGCGGAACAATGGCTTAAGGAGCGCAGGGAACAGGAGCGTCGCGACGCAGAGTTAGCGCGTCGGCTGATGGAGGGCTCTGATGAGGCATCTCCACCGGCTCGCCATCTCTCCCCTCAGCCTTCGAGGCCACCTCTCTTCCCTGAACTATCTCGTTCTCCCCACTCTGGTGGTAATCAGATCGGACCATCCCAGCCCAACCCTTTCCTTCGAGCTCGTTCTCCGCCTTGCCCAGGTGGTAACCGGTTCGAATCTGAGTGGCCCAATCATTCTCCATTTGCAGCGGCCAGAGCTCAACCCGCACAGCCACCACGACTAACATCCCAAGTCCCATCGCAACCAGACTCGCGGTGGTCTACACCTCGTGATTCGATTCTTATTCAGGATAGTGATGACAGCGATGTCGTGGAGCTTCAACCAAGGGATTTTCCGACACAGCGTCAGGATCCCCGCCCTGGTCATCACCCCTACGACTCTGGCCCTCGAGGTTCCAACTCCGTGAAAGATCAAGCGTATGCTTACATGGATTACAATTCGAGGCTGCAACCGAGGCTTCAACCTCTGCAGAACCTGTATCCAAACCCGAACCTAACTCCTGGACCCAATGATATCCGAGGACCAGGTCCTAGCTATGGCCCAAACGTGCTCAACAACACAATGGCAAGGATGAAATCCGGAAAAGAGTTATTCGAGCAAATTGGAAAGTCCATCTTTGGGGATCTGCCCAACCCTTTCTCGTCCACCGGAGCCCCTAGATACCCGTTACCAGGACCGGCGGGGTATAGCCACGGTAGCTATGGTGGCTATCCAGATCTTCTGAGGTGTGTGATCAAATTGGTCACCTACTGCGGATTTACTAATGATGAAACATAGTGATTACCATGACGCCGATTCGAAGAAGATCAACGAAGAAATCAAGCAATTACTCGAAACCATTAGACCTGATTCTGATATCTCCGCCCAAGATCGAGAAGGGACACCCGAAAGTCTCCGATTCCCCTTGCTGGAACACCAGAAACTTGGACTGGCTTGGATGAAGTCGATGGAAGAAAAGGACCAGAAAGGGGGTATCCTCGCTGACGATATGGGCCTCGGCAAGACTATCCAGGCGATTGCTCTCATGGTTTCCCGACCATCTCAAGACCCGGAAAGAAAGCCAACTCTTATTATCGCCCCAGTCGCCTTGATGCAGCAGTGGAAACGCGAAATACAGAGGATTCTCAGACCTGGCAGATGCCAGCTATCGATTTACGTCTTGCATGGTGATAAACGCGGTGTTACCTTTAGGGACCTGAAGAACTATGACGTTGTCCTCACTACATTCGGCACTTTGTCCTCAGAGCTGAAGCGCAGGGAGAAGTATGATGAATTGCAGTCCCGAGGGGCAACTGATCATGCTCTCCGAGAGCTCGCAAAAGGGCTTCCGTGCCTGGGGCCCAGCAGCAAGTGGGTATCGTATCATCATCGATGAAGCGCAGTGTATCAAGAACCGGAACACTAAGTCAGCTTTGGCTGCTTGTCGGCTCAATGCTACCTACCGCTGGTGCATGAGCGGAACCCCCATGATGAACAATGTTGAGGAGTTGCACTCTCTGTTGAAGTTCCTCCGCATCAGGCCGTACAGCAACCTTGAACGGTTTAATAAGGTATGCCTTTCCTCTACCCCTATCCATGATTTCCATTCGTGCTGGACTATGACTGACTCGAATACAGGATTTTACTCGACCTTTGAAAAGCGCAAGCCTTCAGGAACATGACAGAGCAATGACACAGCTCCAGGTTCTCCTGAAAGCAGTCCTCCTACGGCGCACCAAGGAGTCAAAGATAGATGGACGACCTATCTTGCAATTGCCTCGGCGTATTTCAGAGAAAGTACACGCTGCTTTCAGCGAAGACGAAATGGAGTTGTATCAGGCACTGGAGACAAAGACTCAACTTCAGTTCAACAGGTATCTTGAAGCTGGCACTGTTGGCAGGAACTACTCCAACATCTTGGTCCTTCTTCTTCGACTCCGTCAGGCGTGCTGCCACCCGCATCTGATAACCGACTTCAGTGTCAAGCTCAACGCGAACACAGATGAGTTAAATCTTGTGGAAAATGCGAAAGCTTTTGGCAAAGATGTCATCGTTCGATTGAAAGATAGTGACGATATGGAGTGCCCCATCTGCATTGACGCTGTTGAAAATCCCATTATCTTCTTCCCCTGCGGTCACAGCACCTGCGCCGAATGTTTCTCTCGCATTTCTGACCCCGCACTTGCTCTCAGACAAGGAGTCGACGGCTCAGTGGAAGTGAAATGCCCAAATTGTCGCGGAAAGGTCGACCCAAAGAAGATTACCGATCATATTTCGTTCAAGAAAGTGCACTATGGCGATCCCGACGGCACCGAGGAACCCGAGGAAGACAAGGCTGTTGAAGACGAGGACGAGAGCGATGACGATAGTGACGACGATAACGAGAGCTTGTCCCGCTTCATCGTCAATGACGATGAAGGCGACGGCACTCCGAAGACGTCCAAGAAGAAGAAAGGCAAGATGGCCCAGAAGAATAAGAAGAAGACCCTCGCCGAACTCAAGAAGGAGGCATCGAAGAACATCAAGTCGAAGCGCAAGTATCTCCGCCGCCTGGAGAAGACATGGGTGACGAGTGCGAAGATTGAGAAGACCCTGGAGATTCTCGACGGTATCCGCCAGGGCGAAGGTAACGAAAAAACGATCATCTTCAGCCAGTTCACCTCTCTGCTCGATCTTCTGGAGGTACCGATTTCGCGTCGTGGATGGAACTACCGCCGGTACGACGGGTCCATGAAGCCCCAGGACCGGAATGCGTCCGTCCTGGATTTTACCGATGATCCCGACTGCCGAATCATGCTGGTGTCCTTGAAAGCCGGTAACTCGGGTCTGAACCTCGTCGCGGCGTCGCAAGTGATCATCTTCGACCCCTTCTGGAACCCGTACATCGAAGAACAAGCGATCGATCGCGCTCACCGCATCGGACAGATGCGCGAGGTGCAGATCCACCGCATCCTGGTGCCGAACACGGTGGAAGACCGCATTTTGGAACTCCAGGACAAGAAGCGCGAACTCATCGAAGGCGCGTTGGACGAGAAAGCGTCGAAGAATGTCTCTCGACTGGGAACCAGAGAACTGGCCTACCTATTCGTGAGTCCTCGTTTGCCTCTGCTTACTACCTAGTACCCATTCGCTAACGTGCTTGACAGAATATCCGAGACCAATAAGCACCTGGATATTTTCGCGATTTCGCTCTCCTTTTCTTTCTATTTCATTTTGCGATGACATGGCGCTGGCGAAAATGACCTCCCTAGATGATACCCATGCCTCTTGTGTCCCTTTGATATCCCTTGACATGTCGTTCTGCACCTTTTTTTTTTCTCATACATAGATCGGAATCATTTGCAGGCGTGATAGCGTGCTGATTTGGATCGAGCTATCGACCGTGGTTAGAGAATGGAAGTGACTTTACGCACGCATGATCCAGGCTGGAGTTGAGCATCGTACCAAGTAATGATGCGCCGTATTATTTGCCCGGGGAGTAGAAAATCGACAAAAACCCCAAATGACGTCACCCACAAAGGGGATCCGGCATTTGTTTTTCTTCCCCTGGCGGATAAACGTAGGTAGAATCTCTAGTGTCTTTTCTATATATCTAATCCTTGCCCTTCTACTACAATATCTCAATAGAATTAGATTAGGTGCCTCCTTTTGGTTTTTAGCAGAGCCGGGAAAAAACAATTTTTCTCTCCAACGATGCTCCGGGGTTGCCTTTGCCAACAGTGAGTGCCAGGGGAGGAAAAGGGAAGAGGAAAAAAAAAAAAAGGCAAAACTTTGTGGGAGAGTCTAAACTACTAGTGATATTTGATATAAAAGAAAAGCGGGTAAAAAAAAAGTTGCATAATCATGCCGTCCGTTCCTCAGGTCCATCCACTAACCGCTATCGTTGTATCGTAATTCGAGACTTTGCATAACGAAGCCAGTCATATATTTTTTTTGGTTTGCTTTCAGGGAATACACATAGGATCGTCGTCGATGGTCCCTGGATCCCCTGCATCTCATCCTTGAGCACACGCTTACAGGTCGGCGTCTTCCTCGTCGGGCAGGGGCATCTGCGCGGCGTCGTTCATCTGCTTCTCGTACTCGGCCATGAGCTCGGGGTTGACCTGGACCTCAGGAGGAGCCAGAGCGGGAGCGGCAACGAATTCCTGCACGGGTTAGTGTTTCGATTCTTCGTCATTCCGTCATGAAAAGCCAGGGACGACATACAAGAGAGGCATTGCCGACCAGCTTGCGGGCGAGCCAGAGGAAGGGCTTCTCGAAGTTGTAGTTCGACTTGGCGGAGATATCGTAGTACTGCAAGTTCTTCTTGCGGTGGAAGGTGATGGTCTTGGCCTTCACCTTACGCTCCTTAACGTCGACCTTGTTACCGCAGAGCACGATGGGGATGTTCTCGCAGACACGGACGAGGTCACCTATGGCGATTAGTGATGAGAAAGGCCGGACACGAGAAAGCAAACGTACGGTGCCAGTTGGGGACGTTCTTGTAGGTGATACGGGAGGTGACATCGAACATGATGATACCGCACTGGCCGTTGATATAGTAACCATCGCGGAGACCACCGAACTTCTCCTGACCAGCGGTATCCCACACGTCGAACTGGATGGAACCAAGGTTCTGGGAGAGAGTTAGTGGGTGAGTTCGTGGGTTGAGCGATCGATGGCGGTCGGGCGGCCAACGAGCGGGGTTCCAACTGGCGGGGCAAGCATACGGTGCTGAAATTGAGAGGATGCACTTCGACACCGAGAGTGGCAATGTACTTCTTCTCGAACTCGCCAGTCAGATGGCGCTTGACGAAGGTGGTCTGTGGCGGGAGGAAGAGTGTTAGCGATGACGGATTGGCGGTCTTTGATCCTCCTGTCGTGGGGGTTTGAGGAGGGATGGGGAAATTTTTTGTTGATCGCGACGACGGTAAAGGGAGAAGGAAAACCATAAACACGCGCGATGACAACGAGGGTCTCGCCGTCGACAACGACGATATCACGGGCGATTCAGATCTGAGGAAAGGGGTGAAACTGGATCGAATGGAATGGGTGACTTGCCTTTCCAGTACCACCGTCACCGACGAGGACGAGCTTGAAGGTGGGGACGACTTGCTCAGCCATGATGATGAAATGTGATTTAGGTGAGGGGGAGAAGAGGAAAAAGGCGAGTGCAAGGAAGAGGAGGATTAATGCAGGGAGCTGAGGGCGGATGGAAGATGAACGTCGAACCGAAACGACGGTGGGGATAGCGAGAGAAAGAGGAAGAAGAAAGTGAGTTCGGCCGCTGGTGATGGAATTTTTGTCTTTTTGCCCCGGGCGACTCCATGGCTGGGTCACGTGCTCCAACCTCTAGCACGACTGCCCCTCTATCTATCCATTCATCAATCAAGTTCATTAAGATATCACAATCAGCAAGAAAGTAGTAGGTAGGTATCATTTCCAGATCATTCACTAGCCTATCAAATAATAGAATCACATAAAAGAGCCACAGTCATCCTGGGGTGTGTCAGACCACCCCTTCCCACCATAACAATAAACAAACTGCAAGAATTCATACCCATGTCGCATTCCTCATAAAGCTAGAAATTAAAGTACACTCATTACAATTCTTACCAGCAAGAAGTCCCCGGCAAGCTCGTTTGCAATCAATCTGTCTGCATCACAATGGGACCAGATGACAGCCCAACAGACCACGACCGCCCCAATCCCGTCGGGGCGTTAGTACCAGGTCTACATCCGTCAGATTGCCCGACTCATCTTTTCGGTATACTTTCACCGGGAGAGCACGCTGTACAGTAATCAGTATGAAAACGCATTGACGCAAGGATGCCCCAATCTCCGGGACTCTCCGGGATTAGGCGGGTAGGGCAGACGTACTCCTTCGTTCTGTTGAACCACTTCGGCCACCTTGGTGAGACGGGCATGGTTGATCCAGTTGACACTCCCAAATTGACGGATAGTATCTCCGGCCCGTAGACCGGCCTGATGAGCCGGACTGGCCTCCGTAACGCTGTTCACCTTTGCAAATGGCGGCCCAAGCGTCCCAGCGTCCGGCGTAGCATTGCCGTTCAGGTTCGACTGCGATCCTCCCACTCCATTGGTATTCCCGCTTGAGGCCGTCGTGTTCTGTGCGCGCTGGAGGTTCTCAAAGTGCTCGTGGACGGCCTTCTCAACGTATTTCATGAGCTCTTTGTGATCGTTGCGGCGATGGATAATTTGCGACCGTATCGTGCGGACTGAATTGCCTGGTTAGATAAGGTCGAAGCTGTAGTCAACAAGGGATGCCTCACTTTGGGCTACGTCGATATCGTCTCGTGGGAAGCCGTCAAAGGTCGTTAGCGACGTGTTCATATTGACCCCATGCTGACGGTTGTTAGCAACACAGGCTCCACATGATTCCACTCCCGGCGCGACAGAAGTCTCAACAAAGACTCACTGATGAGAGAACACTGCTGAGCGCAGAGAGTTCTTCTTCTATCTTTTGTTTCTCTTGCATCAGCTCGATCACCGACAGCTTGGCTAGATCGGGGCCTTGAGTCCTTCCGGTTGTCGGTCCGGAGGCGACCGTCGGAGCGTGAATGTTGTCGTCCATCGGAATGCCCATTCTAGAATCAAACCATCGTTGAAGGGAGGAGGATCGGAGACCGAGGGGTTTGGTGGCGGACAGCTTTTGAGCTAGGCAAGGTGGTTTGGTGGTGGGTCGCACCGCGTGTAAATCTGGGGGAAGAAGTTCCGCTCGGCGTGGCGGATTTACTCCTTTGCCACTGTACTCTATGCTGTTGTTTACCACCATAGAATGATCGAATCCAGAATTATCTGTACGACTCGTACTTACGATGTATTATAGGTCAGATGCTTTGTTCTCTACTAGGTACTTATTCACAGGCTATATATCTGACCTGGTGTGGAGTGGTGACGATAATGCTCATCGTCACCGCAATCATTCGGACCTTCTACAAAGGTTGCATCAGATACACCAGCCGTAACTTCCCATTGTGCACTGGTAGAGCACGTGAGCATCTTCTCTATATCTTCACACCCAAGCAGGATACCATGACAAGCATCTTCACTCCTACGCCACTGTCCTCAAGACATCATGGCTTCCATCCACTCGCCCAGCAGCGCAGACGGCCCAAAAGAGGAGACAACAGAACCCAATTCCTACTCCATCAGTGAAAGTGAGCTGAAATCGGGCATCCTTGAACCTGCAGAGCCCTCCGCTCGACAACTTGTGTTCAGACGCTGGGTAAACAGCTTCCGCTTAAAGAGAAATCGCCCTTCTCGCCAACCGGTGAAGATTGTTGAAGGCTGGTCCGACGGATCGCAGGAGGGAAATCACAGTTCTCCGAATCTTGCAACAGAGAGCCCGTTGCCCGAGCCTGAATGGCGTCTCTCCGGTCAATCTTCCAATCTGGAGACCGTCAAGACAACGACGATGAGTATCACCAGTCGAAGCATGATCATGTCAGGCGGGACAAACCGTAGCACCAACCACAGCGTGAAATCCGAGTTTCGCGAATCAATGGATAGCTCGACACCTCAACGGAGGTCTATTGACGTGGAAGCTCATAGCCGTGCCATCAACAGGTGTTATGTCGTTCGAGAGCTGATCACCACGGAGGCTGAATATGTCTTCGGTCTCAAAGCCTTGACCGATGTAATGATACTTGAAGGGTGCTTGGAGAAGACCTTACTGACACACGTAGGTTCTGTATCTCTTCTCCTCCAGAACGGAAATCCATTACAACCTTCAAAGTATTCGTGCAGTACATGAAAAGTTCCTGGCAAACGTCCGTAAAATCTCACCTTCGATCAGTATAGATGACAAGGAGATTCAGCTGCCACACCGAGCAGAGAACCACGACCCGAGTACCACACAGACATCATTCAAAGTCCTCAGGTACAAATCTCTCAGAACCCGTACATTCGGCTCAACTACCAACCGTCGGTCTCATCCTCTCACTGTCGAAACTGAGGAAGCTTTGGAAATTGCGCTCGAAACCCAGAAACTGGTATGTTAAGCCAGGGGAGTGACTGACAGTGTTGACCATGTTATAGTCGACGTCTTTCGAGCTCTACGAACAGTTCTACTGCAATTATGATCAGCTTACCGAGGACTTGGATATGCTGCGTCAGTTGGTGCCCAATTGGCCCGTCTTCAACCAAGGAGTCGAGGCTTTGTCGAAATCAGTTGCCTCAATAGAGACGAAGGCGTTAACGGAGAACAAAGCGATGTCTCTCAACGATATGATCATAAAGGTCTGACTCTCAATTCACCCACCTACGGCCATTAATGTTAATATACTCCTAGCCAGTTCAACGCCTTTGCAGATACGAGTTACTACTTAAAGAGCTCTTAAAGTACACTCATGTGCATGATGACCCTTCTGCTCACAATGGCATCAGTCAGGCTTTGGAGGCAGTTCGCAGTGTTGTGTGTCAAGTCAACAGTGTCTCCGCCAACCCTCTCATGAAAACTCATATCCAAAGAACCAACCTCCTTGGAAAAATGACCGTCCTACCAAGCCCGGTAAGAGCTACACCCATATACAAAGCATCCCGTCTGAAACACAAACCCTTGTACAGTGTGCTGTCCACGATATTTACCGACAACTGGGACCCATGTGTCTATGCGGCGTCCTCCATGTAACCTACCGATTATCTGGGCAGATCACAGGGAAATACATGGTTTGCGTTCTTTTCAAAAGCCATCTCCTACTTGCCAAGCCCGATTATGACAAGGCGAAGCTCCGAGGAGTAGCCTGTCTCTATATTTGTGACACGAAGATGGATACCCTGAGTAATGGGAGAGGTGTGGAGCGATCTTCGCAAGTGCCTTTGCCTTAATTGACAAATTGCAGGTCTATGCTGCCAGGGTAGCTTGTTTTCGTGGAAACTGTCTATCCAATACCGGGATGACGACTTCGAGATCGTTCTGAGTGCTTCATCAGCAAACGATGAGAAAAAGTGGCAGACAGAGTTTATAAGATCTACTGCACTTACATTGGATCTTCCAAAGCCGGTCGCATTTGAGCTGAAGGGGTACACTTTCTTGATTCTTGATCTGACTCCATTGAACCGTGTCCACAATCCAGATGCATTGTTGCTTCGGACCCCTTCCGTTCATTCAGCGACGCCTCCTCGGCTTGATCCCAATCTGGAATATGTCATCATCAAAAAGACCCATTGCCCGAATCAGCTCAACCGGACGTCGCGCATTGATGAGGCGAAACCGCTTTCCTCACCGGCTTATGTTCTCACAAGTCGACGAAATGATCGGATCCGACTGGAAAAGCTTATTGCATGCATATATACGAAGGAGTACTTGAACTACCCGGGCATGGTTTTGACAAGGAATGAAATGTTGTTTGGACCTGGTTCGCTCATGAGACGACTTAGTCTTCGTCCGGGCCATAAGCGAAGCAGTTCTTCCGGTCTGCCACTCACAAAGCCGCGCACCGACGACGGACACGGTGTCCAAAGGAGCAAGCTGAAAAAGGGAGATCCTCCTGATGGCAAAGGGCGTGAAATATCAGAGCGTTATCCAAAAGACAACCAGGAGACAGGTCATAGCCAGTGGGAATTCACCCTGGGAAGTTCCCGTCGAAAGAAGATTCCTATACTCGGAAATTGGGCGGCTTCCAGTCCCAACATTGCTGCTTTGAAGGTAGAAACCAAGACCGAGTATCGCTCAGAAAGCCCGTCACCGAAGGCGGCCTTTCTATCCATGTTCAGTTCAATGTCTCTCAGGCTCCCTAAACGCAACATCCGCGGGGCCTTGCATAGTGCCGGCTGACACTACACCATATCTATGGATGTGGAAATGCTAGACCAGGGTACAGCGCCTTTGACATGTTTCGAGATGTGGAATGGTATCATTAAGAGCAGGGAGGCGGTTTCTAGCAGAAAGGGTTGTCATCGGCAGTTGTCAACAATATAGATTACTTTGTATCCCTGTTAAAGGAGACAATCCTAGTAGTATGCAAGTAGATGTCTCGATGTAAGACTGTCCACTGCTTACTGCAATGGCCTGATGTGAGAGGCATTGCCTGACTATGACTGAGAACATCGGATGTCATGTCTTAAATTCCTTTCCTTTATATGCAGGCTTGATCCTCTACCCTGATATCAATGCCTAGAATGGATTGCCCCTACTGATTGTACTCGACTTCCTGTAGATCCAGCTGAGGTTAGGGCACAAGTACTAGATATGACTCGAGCTCATGTCGATCCAGGGGACATAACCCTACAACATCACGTCATAGAGGAAACGACAAGAATACCAGCCACACCGAAGGGATAGAAGACACTAGAATGAGACCATCGCTGGTCTGCATTGCCATCGGGTGGGGAGATCCAGTGCAGACGCGTTTCTATTAGTATCGTCTGGGACTTGCCGAATGAGGGCGTCGACAGCATTCCACCGGGCGCCTGGAGGAGGCGCCGTCCATGTCATGGTCTGGGCAGAGCGGAGTCGGAGAGATCATGGAATGACCGCAACGGGCCCTTATGACGTCGCCGGTGTCGTCGCTTTTGTCTCCACGCGACACATATAAGGGCGTCCTGCGAGGGAGCTATTATAGCTCTAGACAATTAACAATATCTTAACGAATCTGAACTACCCTCTCCTCTTCTCATCATCTTCTCATCGATTGACGACTTTGTGGTTTGTTGAGCGAGTGATATCCGCCTTTCCTGATAGTGACGTCATCCGCTCTCACGCGACCTTCCATCTACATCCAGACCAACAACCTCTTGAACTTCCTTTCTCTCCTCTTCTCTCCTCCAGAGAACATCACTGCCATCCTCATCACTTATACTCCCGTTGAATACCTCTTCACATCTTCAATCACCCATCACAATGCCTCGTGCCAACGACCCCACCTCCAAGGTCTTCTACAAGGGCTCCTCCGATGACTTCATCGTCTTCGTCGACGACGCCCAGGCCCTCAACAACTGGCGCAAGGACCGTTCCATTCCGCTGGCGGATGTGCTGAACGGCTGGAAGATCTTCACGACCCACAGGTATGTGAATGGCACGCATGGCGAGGATCCATCAATGCTGATACTAATGACCACAGACACGGCGCCCAGGGCGTCCTCGACGGCGCCAGCAAGGCGAGCCTCGAGAACGAGTTCGGGACTTCCAACGAAGACGACGTCGTCACGAAGATTCTGGAGAACGGTGAATTCCAGACCACTGGTGTATGCAAACCCCCCATCCTGTTATACGCTTTGATGGATTGACGCTGACTGCGTGATAGTCCAAGGAGAACGTGGGTGATACGAACTTCCGCAACGGATCGGGAGGCATGACTCGGTAATTTCGTTGCCGTGTGCTGGCTAGCGGGCTGGCCTTGAAGCCTCTATGTTGTTTTGCCCTGGGTGTTATAACAGCGTGGTTAGGAATACTTGTACGTGAGGACGAGTCACGATGATGCGTGGTAGCTGCATCACTGCATAATGAACTACATCAACCAATTCATGCATTACTCTCGTAGTGTCGAAGTCGTAGCGCATATATATACACTCGAGACATCTCTATCTCGCCACCTCCTCTCGCCGCTGCACCACCCACCGCCCCAATTCATTCCACACAGCCTGCTTCTCGGCCATGGTCATGCCAGCCGCCAACCCGCTCGTAGTCGTAGCCACAAAAACCGGCGCCCCATCCCACCCCTCGCAGCGCCCCATATTCTCGCTCTCATCCTGCCACCCATACCTGAACTCCTCCTTCCGGATCGCCCGCCCCTTACGCACCCGCCACACGGCCTCCCAGATGCTCTTCCCGACCAGACAGACGGCGCGCGGCCGCTGCGCCGCGACCTTGGCCTCCAGCACGGGCACACCGGCGTTCATCTCCGCGCGGCTGAGCATGCTCGCGTCGCGCGTCGGGCGCTCCACGATGTTCGTATTGCCGATGTTGTACAGCTCCGGCAGCCGGTACGTGTCCGACGGCGGGTGGCGCTCCGTCGTGATCCCCGACGAGTGCAGGAGCTTCCAGAACAAGTTGGACGGGTGCGCGTACGCGTACCCCGTTGTGCCCGTCATGATGCCCGGATTCACGCCAACGAGCAGCAGCGTGAGGTTTGGGGGGATGGTGTCGCGGAGGAGGGAAGTGGAGGTCGATGGGGGTGTGGAGGTGCGCGAGGTGGGTTGCGTTGTTGGAGATCGGGATAGTGGTGTTGAGGACGGAGTGCTGCCTGCGGAGCGGGAGCGGGTGATGCGGCGGGGTGTGGGTGTGGGTATGTCTATGTCTGCGGTGGGAGTCGATGCGCCGGATGGTGTTGAGGACTTGATTCGTTTGGACCGTCGCTGGGGTTGTGAGGTCTCGTCTGGTGATGATGCTGTTCGCTTGAGAGCGTCCGGGATGGCGATAGGTGTTGTGGTTTTGGATGCGGCATCTGCGGCCGCCGCATTTGTAGAGATGTTCTTTGAGGCGTGGAAGTATTGATTGAGCCGTCCGTTGAAGCTGGTCGTTTTGTTCACGGGCACATCGTCGTCGTCGCTCCGTGGGTTGTCCGCACGGCTGGAGGCTGCGGGCGACATGCCGCTCTCAGGAAGTAGATTCTGGGTTAGTGACGGTTGAAATTGTCTAGGTAGGAGTTAGTCGCCAACCAGAAATCACCGCAGAGAGCAGAGATTTTTAGGGGGTTTGAAGAAAAGAAATTGGGGGCAACAAGACGGTGGCTGTATAGAGCCGCACGTGATACTTGCGAGTGGCAACATGCCTCAGGCACGACAGAAAAAAAAGGTGTCGAGCTACTGAGAGAGTAGTTGTTACTAATGGCATGTTCTTCGTTAGATTATAATATACAACGGCTATGTATGTACATTGTGGACCAAGCTGACAAGCTTGCGTCCTTCGTATTATCCCATTTCCGGTCCAGGTCATTAGATCATGTGCTATGCGATCGTCACGTCGTTCAAGGTATGTACAAGCGAGGGCGACTATACTTTATGTATGTTTCGTTTGGGCAATGTCCATGGTTCCGGACATACGACCTATCCATGTTAGTATTGACAGCCTCATAGCCTAGGGAAGTATGCATACCTCTCCCTCGCTGTAGGCCCAGAAATACACCCCAATTCCCACGAGATAGTAAAGAGCCGGGTCGGTCCCTTGGTATAACAGTGCCGCCAATAGCGCACTGAGCGGGTATAGGATGAGGCGGAATTCAATGCTGCGATGGGGCAACGAGCCGGCAAAGTATTTCAATGGCCATTCCCAGGCCAGGCCGAGTAAGCCCATGATGAGATTGAGGATTTGGAGGATCGGAATCGGCTTGACGGCGCCGTTGAGGTTCTTGGTGATGAAGTCCCAGAAGACTTTGGGCCAGATGAAGCCTTCGATTGCGCTGCCCACTTGGTCTGGGGTTGTCAGTCGGACTATTCCATGCATGATCTTAAGGGCGCCAGTACGTACAGGCAGCGGCTGTGAGGATGATCAAACGCGCCCAGTGGTTCTTGATTAACCGACCCATAGCGACGGCAGGGTGAGAGACAGTACGGAGTAAGGCGGACAGGAAGGTGAGCAGCTCGGCCAGCGAAACCTCTCACAAGGTCGACACGACGCTTTTATTCGCAGTCATACGTCGGATCAACGAAGCTGGGTGGATGATCATCGACACCGACATGGCAGAAGCGGATTGAATGGATGATGTACTCCGTATCTGTCCATGTGTTTGTAGCGGTCTGATCGATAAGGTCAACTATCACATTCCAGCAGAACAACGAGATAGCGGGGGAGCGAGGGAATATAGCGGGACAGCGCCAACTCACCTGATCTGAACAACTCCAGCCCTCTGTCACGGCCTGAAAAACCATTCCTCCAGCGACTGTGATACGTGCATCTGTTTTATCAACCGCTGGAGTTGCGCAGCCAATGGCACACCCTCCGCACCGAATTCCCCTCATGAGTTCTGCACGGGGATTGCATCCTGACGGCCGCTCATAGGCCTGCCCGCCCGGACCGTGACCAGCTATCCCGGCTGAAGGCTCTGACTGGGCGCTATGTCCATGCTCCATCAGCGAATGAGCCGGCGTAACGCACGAGATGAGAAGAAGCGAGTGCAGTAGCGCGGGCGACGGAGCGTGACGGTGGACCGGCGCCTGCAGGAGATTTGCGGGAGCACGCCTTAGCGGCCGATGCCTTCGGTCTGCTCCCACTCCACGACGAAGACCTCGACGAAGTCCGGAGATTTGCTGTCACAGTATGATAGCTTGGTATTTTTTGTTTGTCGCCGGTTCCCCTGGTCAGACAATCGCTCTACCAGCGCACCATGACTCCTTACGAAACCACCAACAATGGGATTCTGGCTGGATCAAATACTGCCCGTTGACTGTCAGACCAGGTCAATCAGGGATCTCCGGCTCACCGTACTTTCACCTCATGGACTCATGCCTGGTGATCGTTGATGATTTCCTCACAAGGTTAAATGTCCGAAAAAAAGTTGACACTAGCTGTGATGAAATGCCTATCGTGCATCCCCAACCAGCACCAGCTTTGCTCCGCTTGATGAAGGATTCCGTCGAAATCGAGGCTTCCACTGCCAAGGGACTTCGATCCTACGACCCTGGGTAAGAGCTATATTTGGAAGCAAATGCCACCAGCATCATTAAACTTAGCAGCGAGAGAAGTCCGACTCCTCACCGTTGATTGCATTGTCGTGCGGTGTCGCCCCGTGCCGAGATGCCATTCGCTTCGGGACGTGTGCGACGGAGTCAGCGCTTGCAGAACGGCTCTCATAGGAGAAGATCCTGGCGAGTGGCCGGACAACTCCACCGGCGCTGGAGCAATCATCGTCGCAGATCCAGCTGCTTCTTCAACTGACGCTGCCAAGCGAACGCTGGGTCCCAATCACTCTCATCCTCTACCCCCTGGGGCCACATGGCTTCACGGTGGACTCTCTCCGGGATAAGCGAAGGCTGGGAGAACGTTGACAGAAGAGGCGTCAGGAGATGATGGGTGAGTCTCCCCCGCTCAAGACCTATTTTTATATCGGATTTCCCTCGGGGCTTGACCTGCGGAGCCACAGGTAGCAAGCAGCATTCGACGCGCTCCGACAGATGCGGTCCATATCAGATGATGCCAATGTTGGATACGAACGAAGGATGTGATTCCAAAGATGTAGGACATAACCGAGCGTCGTCGCCCGAGTAGACGTATCATACGAGAGGAAGCGAAGCCTTGAGTGCCTGATTAGGTTGTCTAGAGCTCTGGATGCCAGCCAGCCAGACGACTCTACAGGTTGATCGATCGTCAACCCTAATCCGTACTGCATGGTCGTTTAGGCCCCGTTCTTTAGTGTCTCCCCCTCAAGTGGTGGCGGTCCCCCTCTCTTCCCTGCAACCAAAACCACATCTCCGGATCCTACAACCTTCACTCCGTCCACCACTGTCGTCTATCCACCCCAAATTCAGCCATTCACCATTCAACTAACTCCCCGATACACATGGCGTTCGCATCCGCAAGATAACGATGTTCTTTGGGTGGACGTTACCAGGCTCCCAATTGACCGCTCGCGTCGGCTGCTGCTCCTGGCTGCTCTTCCTCGCCAGCTTCAGGAACGCGAGTCTCAGGCTTACAAGAAACTGATACATGAAGAAAAAGATCTCTTTGGAGACCCAGCTATCTACACATATTGATCTCTTTGGCCAGCACAGGTGCTGTCCTTTGAAATATAATAATCGTCGCTGGTCGATGTTTTCATCGTTGTTAGAGAGATACCCATTGCATGGCTTACTGCGAAAATGATTACCCTACGACACCCGTTGAATTCCTACTTTACACGACAGAAGACTCTGTTCTACTTTCTCTTCTGGGGCGCCCACATCGCCGTCTTCGCGGTCGGATGGTATGTTCGCTCGTCCACTGCAATGGACCTCTGTCTGACGAGTGTAGGCACATACAGGCCGCCAACACAAAGTTGGCCGCTCTCAATCGCCTCAAGTACTCGGTGTACATCTCGCGAGGTGCAGGGCTCGTCCTAACCTTCGATGGAACGCTGATCATCCTGCCGATGTGCAGGAATCTCATCCGACTGCTGCGTCCCCGAATCCGATGGCTTCCTCTGGAGGAGACGGCATGGTTCCATCGGCAGACCGCGTACGCCCTTCTCCTCTTCGTCATCCTCCACGTCGCCGCGCACTACGTCAAGTAAGTTCAGCCCACAGAGACCCTCTCACCGACTGGCTAGAGCTAACGCATCTAGTTTTTATAACGTCGAGAAGGATCAAATCCGCCCGAACACTGCGGTGCAGATGCACTTCACTGAGGCCGGCGGAATCACTGGCCATGTCATGCTCTTCTGCATGATGCTCATGTACACGACCTCCCATCATCGCATTCGCCAGCAGTCCTTCGAGACCTTCTGGTACACCCACCATCTGTTCGTGCCGTTCCTCCTGGCTCTCTACACGCACGCCACTGGGTGCTTTGTGCGGGATACAAAAGAGCCCATCTCCCCGTTCGCCGGACACCGCTTCTGGAACCACTGCCTCGGATACGAAGGCTGGCGATGGGAGCTAGTGGGCGGCGGTCTCTACCTCATCGAACGACTGTATCGTGAGATCCGATCCCGACGGCAAACCGTCATCACCAAGGTGATCCGTCACCCCTACGGTACGTACCATTCCCTCCCCGCCCTCACCTTACGATCCACACTGACTCCTCCAGACGCCATGGAAATCCAATTCCGCAAAGACAGCATGAACTACAAAGCCGGACAGTGGCTCTTCATCCAAGTCCCCGAGGTCTCCAGCAACCAATGGCACCCATTCACCATCACCTCGTGCCCCTTCGATCCATATGTGAGCATCCACGTCAGGCAGGTAGGCGACTTTACGCGCGCGCTCGGCGACGCGCTGGGCTGCGGGCCGGCGCAGGCGCGCGACCTCGAGGGCCTGGACCCAATGGGCATGTACGAGGTGGCGCTGGAGAACGGGCAGAAGATGCCGACGCTGCGGGTGGACGGGCCGTACGGAGCGCCGGCGGAGGACGTGTTCGAGAACGAGATCGCGGTGCTGATCGGCACAGGCATCGGCGTGACGCCGTGGGCGTCCATCCTCAAGAACATCTGGCACCTGCGCGCGGGGCCCAACCCGCCGCGCCGGCTGCGCCGTGTCGAGTTCATCTGGGTCTGCAAGGACACCACCTCGTTCGAGTGGTTCCAGGCGCTGCTGTCGTCGCTGGAGTCGCAGTCTGCGTCTGCGGCGGCTAGCCAGGGCAGCGCGGAGTTCTTGCGGATCCACACGTATCTCACGCAGCGGTTGGATGACGATACCGCCGCGAATATCTACCTCAACTCCGTCGGGCAGGACCTTGATCCGCTGACGGAGCTGAAGAGCCGCACGAACTTCGGACGGCCCGATTGGAGCCGCCTCTTCTCGGCTATGCGCAACGGTCTCAAGGACCAGTCGTATATGTCGGGCTTGCATCGGTTCAAGACCGAGGTCGGGGTGTACTTCTGCGGGCCGAATACGGCGGCGCGCCAGATTAGCGAGGCTGCCCATGCGACGTCGAGCAAGGATGTGAAGTTCAAGTTCTGGAAGGAGCACTTCTAATTTGTTTGTTCGTGTGTTTGTTTGTTTGTTGTTTGGATACCACTGTTGCAATACGACACGATGTGATGAAGTCATGACTGTTTCGCTTGTTGTTGTTTGGATCTTAGCTGTAATCGTGGGCGGTGTCTTGTACTATAGTTGGTATGAAGTCTCTGTTTTCATGTCGAGCGTAGGGTGATTTCGTTTTAATGTAGTACGTGTGGTAAGATGTCTGTCGGCGTGGTCGATATATATTGCTGGGATTCTCTTCCGGTCTATCCTAATGAGCTACGTAACAAGACATGCGACAATATACAGTTGGGTATCATTACTCCTGATGAACGACATGGTCTATATGAAATAACTACAGCTGCATCTCATCCCCACTATCTGCATCATCAGGCATGCTAAAAGGCAAACCAGCAGATCTCTGCATCTTCTCCGCGAGCTCATCCAATTGATCCTCGATATCAACATGAATGCGCAACTCCTTCTCCACAAGGACATTATACACGCGTCGCAGCTCATCAAAGCCCATGCCGTCTCCTCGCCGAGACGAGGCCGGGTGGCGACTCTCCACGACGTCCGCACGGAGGTGACTGAACGCCAGCATAATGAGCTCCTTGGACCACGGGCAAGCACGCATACCGCGGTAGAAGACATCTTTGGCGCGTTGGATGTTGTGGTGTGATAATTCGAACAAGATGTACAGTTTCCACAGGGAGAGACTTGAGCCTGCGGTGGACAGCGTGTTGTGCTGTGCTGATGCGTCGTGTTCGCCGATGGCTTTTTCAAATGCGGCACGTACTGAGTGTGCCGTGGAGCCTGCATACACCGGGCGGATCATTTCCGTGTAAATCGAGAATAAATGAGAGGTGATAGGGACTTGTTGCAGGGTCGAAGTATGGCTGGTTCGGCTCTCGGTAGTTATGTCTCTGACGATGTCGCGCACACGCTCTTCGATGCGGAAGCGAGATTCGTTCCAGGCGAATAAAGAGAGGAACATGGTGTTATGTGGGAAGGTGGAAATGCTTTCCATCAGGAGAGAGCGGATCTGAGATGGCTTGTACATTCCGTTTGTGCGGACATGGTAGTAGAGGAACCGAGCACGAGATTGGTGAAGCAATTCAACGGCGTAGGCGACGAAAGCCTCATCTTTCTTGGGCAATACAGAAAGACGCCTCATTGCATTACTGTATGCATCGAGAGTCTTGTTCAGATCGAAAGAATGCGTGAGATAGGTAAGGATAGCCTGCGAGTCGACGCAGGCCACGAATGCCGTTGACTTGCGGTTTGCCAACAAGTTTTCGAGGGTCTCGGCCAAGAACTGTGGATGGTAAGCCGGAGGTTCACAGAGGATACGGAACTAGTACTCACAGTTTGGACCTTCAGCAAGCCCGTAGCGCTGAATTCTGGCTGGCCGGACGTATCGGGAAAAGCTTTCAGATCAATACTATTCTGGGGCATGGACATAAGAACATGAGAAGCGTGGGCTACGTTCCGAGATTCCAGCAGTTCCCAAACCCAAGCGTGCCAGAGAAGAACGCTATCCGCTCTGTCATTAGCCGAGAACGTGTTGCTCATCGACAGACTGGTGGCCCAGACATGGCCTGCAGCAGCGTGATTTCCAGACCGACGCTCCATAAGTGCGTATGCATTGTAGAGCCGTAGATTAGATGAGCGTTTCTTCAGCAATGACTTGGCACACTTCTTCGCCTCCTTTGGATTGCATGCAAATTCCAAAGCGAGCGTGTACTCGGCCAGGTCGTCGTTTTGCGGCATCGCCTCTACCAATGATCGCAATACCCGACGGACCCAGTCCGTATCAACATCAGACTGATTGTCCCTGGCAGCCTTGGCCCATGCCTCAAAGGAGTAGAACCAAGTCCCCTTTTCAGCGAAAAGTGTACCGAGAGTGTGGATGAAATGCTGGCCAGGAAAGGACAGAGGAGTGGACTCTGAACCTTCTATGCTTGTCGAAGATCTCGACAGCCATTCTTCAAGGGTATAATGTGGACTGCTCATGAGATCGTTCTGTATAAAGCTGTCCCCTGCCCAATGACCCGTTGTATTCTTGTTGACAGCCGTTATGACCGGAGGAAGATGACAGAAGTACAGAAAACTGTCGACCAATACGTGAGCAGCATCAGCACTCCAAACCAGCGAAAGGGTCTCTTCCAAATCGGAAGAAATGACCACACGATATGGGTCCTCTTCCTCATCCAAGCTGCGGGCGGGCAGCCGAGACCTGACGATGCGGTCCCTTTCGCATCCCACCCAAGACGCAAACAGAGACTTTGGTTTTAAGCGAGGTAGGGGTGGCGGTGTCTGTGGATCGTGAAGAGTGTTTTCATTGCTCGTCCAGCCTTGCGCACCAGCCTCGCCAATCCGCGCGACTTCAGAGTCCCAAAACTCCAAGAACGACGCAACTGTGCTCCGTTCATCCAAAGACTCTGGTCGAAAGAACGTAAGTTCCAGGACAGCCTGCCATAGCCCAATGGCAAGTTCCACGAATCCCGCCTCCCGGATGAAGAGTGTGAGGCGAAGAAAGAGGTAGATATGGACCGTGGTCTTGTTAGGATGGTCAGGACTCGACTTATTCAGTCGCAAACACTCCATAAACGTGGCAAGACACTTTTCATAGGTGAAATCAAGGAACTCGGTCTGTCGGAAGTCAAGATATTTGATCCAGAGGCTAATAAAGTGCGAATCTGACTTCAAAACAGATTGCCAACGGGCAGAAAGCTTTTTCGCATCCCACAACTTCGCACCCTCTTCCAAGCAACCGAGTAGCAGCTTATCCCGAGAAGGGTGCTGACCGACCTTTTTCAAGGCTTTCTCATAGAGAGATAGTTTGATATCCGCCAGACTCTTCCTCTCTGCGTATGTCAATGAGCCAGATTCTCGCTCGGAGCCGCGCAGGAGAGACTCTTGGTGATCAATGAGCGCGAGCCAGCTTTCGACATCAGTGGGATTCCGTTCTACATTGCGCGACAATTCCACGTTGCGTTGCTTGATCTCTTTGTCTGGGTCAGCCCGAACACCATCCTCGTCAACGGAGCCACTGTCGGAGATGATCTCCAGGTCGTCTGGAAGCATATCTTCTGGTTTTGCTTTGCCCCGGATCGAGCGATAAGCGTATCTGTCATCCTCCGAATCTTCATCGAGGTCATTGGACTTATTACCGGATGTACTAAGCGGTAGATAGTCCTCGGAAGCATCTGTGGGCGCAGTGGCTGAAATCGGTCGCACGCGAAGCAATTTCGTCGTTTGTTGTTTCCTGAGGCCCGCAAGAAGATCCTTAGTCTTTGCCTTCGACCGATCTGCAGAAAAATCCGGTTTAATCACTATCGCATCGCCTTCGGATGTATCGCGGTCGATTTTATGGCGTGGGGGAAGGCCCAACACACTTCCCCGTCCAAACCGCCGGTAGTGAGGGACACTATAGCGATGTATCGTGCCATATATAACATTGTACTTGTCGCCTTTGCTATCCACAACATACAAATCCGACACGTCATCTTTGGGCGCGCTCACGGTGCTAGTTCGTGATGACGGAGGTTTGGGGACGGGCTCCGACCGAGGACTGGCTGCTTCTGCACGGACATGGCGATGTTCCCGGCGTTCCTTTCGTCGTTCTCGAGATCGGGAGCGATCGCGATGGCTTCTGTGTCTTGAATGGTGGTGTCGAGAGTGGTGTCTGGATCTGTCTTCTGTTTCTTTGCTGTCGCGTGTGGAACGTTCCGGAGGCCGATCAGCTTGCGGCGGAGGGGGCGGTTTGAAGCTGGCGAAGCGCGGGATGGATTTTTTCTCCTAAGGAACCAATTAGCGACTGATCGCGACGAATACTATCGACGTGAAGGTACCTGAGAGACGGAGGAATCCATACTCCTGACCGAGAGGCATCGTGGGGGTCGGATGGGGTGGTGTTTGGAGCTGGAAGTAGTTGGGGTCAAATAAGGTCAGGCTGGAAAAACTCCGCTCCCGTCTTCCGCAATTTTTTCTACAGTGGCAGTAAAAAAAGTTGCCCCGACCATCCTCTGGTTCAGCGCCTGCTTCACCACACATTCTTGCGTCCGGAGGAGAAGAAGACGATTCCCGAGTGATGGATTTCTCGAATTACTAGTTTACCACATTTTTCATCGCAAAATGGCCTCCTCCCTCGCCGCGCAGCTGTCGCAGATTGCGGCGAACTCGACCAACCAGTTGAACCTGAAGGCGCAGAGAATCGCGCATTCGCATTCCCTCATATTCGACAAGAAGGTCGCTGGATCCCAGGACTTTGATACCATCTACGACATTTGCTTTGAAGGATTCCAGGAGCTATGCCAACTCGACCCCCGGTTTGCGCAGTTCGAGCGCACCATCTTCAGTCCGCAGAGCAAGACGGAAGAGCGGACGGAGATGAACGTGGCTCAGAACAAGGAGTTGGATACGGTCTTGGAGGCTTTTCTCGCTTTGGTTGGAGGGAGACTGTTGTTGAGTCCTGCTGTTAAGGCTGCAGACTGGCTTATCCGACGTTTTCGGTTCGTCATGGTCCTTCCAGTCCAGCGACATAATATGGCTAACGGAGTCCAGAGTCCACGAATATAATACCACCGCCACGATCCTCACTTTCCTACCCTATTATTCCACACCCCTCTTCCTGAATCTGCTCTCTATCCTCCCAGAAGACCTGACACCGACATTCAAGGTCCTTCTTCCTTACAAGAAGAGCTTGATCAACCCTCCCCGCCACCCGCTCGTGCACAGTGCCACAACGAACAAACCATTCCTTGCCGCATTGAACGCCTATGTGATCCAAGCAAGCCGGCAACAGTCGGCTCACCACGCTCTTCTCTCCTTTTGGGCAGGAATCTTTACTGAGGCTGTGTCTGGAATGCTGGATGCGTCGCGGTCCGGTCGTCGAGGCGTGGAAAAGGTGAAACATGACGACATCGTACTTTCGGTGCTTCCGATTTTGAACGATGGACTGGGCATGAAAGATATTTCGGAGTTGGTGATCGGTTGCTACATGGTCTGTGTTGTTCTTGCTCAGAAAGCGGCCCTGCAGGACAACGTTCTGGATAGCCTGATGGAGGCGATTGTAGCGTCTTGGACAGTGGAGACCGTCAGCTCTGGCCTCATCTGTTTGTCCGTCCTCGCCCAGCAAAAGCCCGAACCTACTATTCCGAAGCGGGTCTTCAAGGCAATCCTCCGTCTGGAGAACCCGATTCAGCAGCTGTCGGAGATTTCGTCCCAATATAAGACATCGCACCTGCTGCTTGCAATCATCGCAGGGTGCGTTGATGATCTCTCGAAGCAGGAGGACACCGTCCGCCTGGATTTGTTGTCGCTCATGTTTGAGAGTCAGATTTTGGGAGAATCTGAAACGGGACAGGGTATGGGTATTGTCCTCCGTGCCGCCAGCAGCGCTCACAAAGACGGCGTGATGTCCTTGAATGCGCAGACGCATCTGGCAGATTTGGTGCAGCACTTCACGAGATCCGAGTCTCTGCAGCCGATTTTCCAGAAGACCATTGCCGAATCAGCACTCGATGTCTCTGCTTTGGAGCATAATCTCCAAACTGTCATTGAGTCCGCGCAGGCGCCCAAGGCACTGGAAGACGTCGAAATGGATGAGGCTGCACCCAAGCAACAGGAGGATGAGTTCCCGTCTCTACTTCAGTCGCTCGAAAGTGAACCCTTGATGAAGTCGTCATTCCTTAGCGCCCAGTCGATCCCTGTTTTCGATCGCCTTGCCCAGGCTTTCGCCTTGGCAATTGGGTCCCAAGAGAAGCTCGAGTCTTTTGCCAACTTGACTGTGCTTGGAAAGTCCAATGCCACCAAGTCTCCTCAATACCTGTCCTTCTTCGTGAGGGTGTTCTCTGGCTCGTACCCTATTGGAACACGCGTAACCGCTTTGAACATGCTGTCCTCTTTCCTCAGCGATTCTCCTACCGATATCGACTTCCAGGCGCTCGTCCCTTTCGTGCTAGTGGCTCTTGGAGATGTCTCTGAAAGGATTCGTCGCGAAGCCGCAGCTGTTTTGGCTGCGTTGGGTGCCTTGTATAAGAAAGCCAAGAAGGATAATCCATCTGTCTGGGCGTCTGACTCGCTTTACGGCCAGGCTAAGCAGTCGAAGGGCGTTAACTGGCTCTCCGGGCGTGATATGTCGAAAATCTTTGAACGCGCCCTCCTCCCGGGGTTGGAAGAGTATGTTCTGGACCCAAGTCACATTGGGCGGGTTGTCGAAGCTACTCTGCGTGGAACTTTAGCCGATTCCGATGCATCTGAGTTGAAGAAGCCTTTGCGCCTTGCGCTCTTCAGCTTCTTGTGCTCTCATGTCGTCCAACTCCCGCTCTTTGCTCCCAAGCTGGGCTTGTTGGACCTCCTCAACCGCGTTGAGAAGGCTGGTGGAACGACTCGAACCAAAGAGCTAGAGCCCTTGCTGAAGATGTGGCGGGATCTTGGTGTCGAGAAAGCGAAGGATATTTGCGACAAAGAGCGCATCTCTGCCGCAGAGATGGAGGCCCAGGTTGTCAAGATCGTTACACCCAAGGAAAAAGATGCGATTGTCCTGTTGCTGTCGATCATCAACCCATACTCCAACTCACTGAGCCCATCGTTCGTCGCTGCTGTGTTTGGCCGGATGAAGGACATTTGGGCCAAAATACCCGAGGACCGACAGGAGTTTGCTGCTGAGAGACTCTTCGAGGTATCACTGCAAGAGTCCGATTCGCCTCTTGTGGACGGTTGTCGGGAAGTGCTTCGCAGTGTCCAGGTCCCTGGTCCTGTGCTCGTTCGCTTCGTTAAGCAGATTCCGGTATCCGTCACTGACATAGAATCTCTTGGACCTGCGCCGAAGAGAAGACGCACGAGCCAGAATAACATGGTGGCTATGACGGTCAAGGATGAGGCCAAGCTCAGCAAACTCATGGAAAAGATGACTTTTATCCTGGAACTTGTGGATGGCTCCAAGCCCGAAGACCACCCTGAGCTCGCCGACGGACTTTTCCAGACATTGGCTGCTCTGCACCACTTCAAGTCGCAAATCCAGTCTGGAATGAGCTACCTGCTTAGTCTAGCACTCGGTAGCCTTTTGGCTATTGTGAACAAGTCGAGAGCCACGGCCAAGCCGTTGTTCAATACTTCGGTCATTCGGGCTGACTTGGTGGTGGACTGTGTTCGCACGACTGAAAGCCCACAGGTGCAGAATGCAGCTCTCCTTCTTGTGGCTGGGCTGTCGGTCATCGCGCCGGAATTAGTCCTGCACAGTGTGATGCCAATCTTCACGTTCATGGGCTCCAGTGTTCTCCGAAAGGATGACGAGTACTCTGTTTCCGTAATTGATCAGACGATCGACCAGGTTGTCCCTGCTCTCATCCAGTCTTTGCGCAACCAGAAACGCGATGTTGTGTCCGGAACATCGGAGTTATTGCTCAGCTTCACCGCCGCCTTTGAACACATCCCATCCCATCGCCGTCTCCGGCTGTTCCATGCTTTGATCACCAAGCTTGGAACGCAGGACTTCTTGTTCGCTGTTTTGGCTATGCTCGCCAATAGATACTCCATGGACAAAGATGTCCTGATTCTGATGACGGGCCTGGCTTCGGACGCCACTGCGGCTGTTGAACTTTGTGTATGTTGTCCCGCTTTGACGCCCACGCGGTGTAACTAACTTGACTGCAGACATATTGCAAATATTTGGAACTTGTCACAGATTCCCTGAGACCGAAGCCTGGAATTTCGCAGGTCCTTCTTGGCATCGGCAGCGACGATGGCCGTGAACCCCAAAAGGTTGCAGTCGATCTCCTTCGGGCGTTGGCTTACCTGTTCAGACATTCGTCGATCAAGTCCAAGATGGCCAAGGCGTTGGCAGTGGAGGGCGGCGAGGAGTCCGAGCAGATCCGGTCTTACTTCTCGCAGATCCTGACACAGATCTTGACGATTGGTGACACGATGCAGGAGATGAAGGCTGTCAGCCAAGCTAGTGGAGAAGTCCTCAGCGCACTGTTCGGCACGCTGTCGCTGATCGATTTCCTGGACACGATTGAGATTTTGCTCCAACGTCCTGGTGACGAGCTCCGTCGTAAGGTGCTCCGGCTCCTGGAAGGCCGTCTGCGGCAGAACCCCGAGCGCGACAGCCCCTCCCAGAACCGGATGTTGGACTTCCTGCCCACATTGGTTACGATTGTCGAGTCGTCACCGGATATCTTGCTCAAGCATGCTGCCGTGGCCTGCATCGACCGTATCACTGAGAAGTATGGCAAGAAGGATCCGTCCAAGGTTATCCCAGCGTCGAAGGCGATTGCTGGTCAGTCATGTATCGGACAGGAAGACGACCGTATCCGTATTATGGGCGTCTTGTGTCTTGCATCTATGGCGGAGGTTCTCGGCCAGGCTATGATCCCTGCACTGCCTGATGCGCTGAATCGTTCGCTGTCTCTGCTGGAGGTGAGCATGGAGGCTGGAAAGGAGAACGCCCGATTGCATGATGCTGTGTATTCGCTGTTCTCTGCTCTGTTTGTGCACCTGCCGTATATGATCTCTGCTTCGCACCTGGACCAGATTCTGCTGCTTTCGTTCCGGTCTGCCGGTTCAGAAGAGCTTGAGGATGAGAGCCGACAGGAGGCGTTGCGCCTGATGGCCAGAAAGGCCGATTTGGCGGCGACATTTGGTGTTGTCAACCGGAACTGGACTCAAGCTGTGGCGGCCGGTCCGGAGGCCACCAAGGAGACGCTGGAGACGCTGAGTCTGGCAATTGAGAAGCATCCGAAGTCGGCTACGATGAAGAATCTGCCCGTGTTGACGGAGATTCTGTTCAAAGCGTTCGACTTGCGTCGCGAGCAGGTTGCCCTCGGATCCAAGGCCAAATTCGACGCAGATGATCTGGAAGAGGCCGAGGAGATTGTCAACGATGTCACAATCAAGATGATCTACAAGTTGAACGACTCGACATTCCGGCCGATTTTCACCAAGCTTTTCGACTGGGCCACGACGGGGATCTCGAAGAAGGACCGCCACGGCGACGTGTCTCGTCTTACGACGTTTTACAAGTTTTTGGAAGTTTTCTTCGGTACCCTTCAGGTATGTATCGTCCGTTTTCAAATCTACGGCTTGACTAACGCGCGCAGTCCATCGTCACCGGATACGCAAGCTACATTATCGAGAATGTCGTTGCGGTCCTTGGCAAGGCCAGTCCTTCCAACCAGAACACCAGGACTCTCTGGTTATCGACCCTGCGCATGCTGCGGAACGCCTTTGAGCATGATCAGGACGGTGAGTCTCATTTACTATAATCCTTAGGAAGATAAGCTAATTATGTAGAATTCTGGCAATCTCCCTCTCATCTAAACCAAATCTCCGAACCTCTGATCTCCCAACTCGCCCATGCCACTACATCCTCTCTGGCCAACACGGTAATAGCCGAGGCGGTCCCCGCGATCACCGAACTCGCCGTCGCGGCGGACTCTACGGATAATCACAAGGAGCTCAACACAGTCCTGATGCGGTTCCTTCGTCCGTCGGCGGGTCCCAGCGGCAAGGCCGCAGGCGGAGAGAACCCGCACACGCGGTTTGCAGCCCTGAAGGCGGAGCAGTCGCTGACGGAGCAGCTGGGCGAGGAGTGGCTTGCGCTGCTGCCGGAGATGCTGCCGTATATCAGCGAGCTGATGGAAGACGAAGACGAGAACGTCGAGCGCGAGGTGCGGCGCTGGGTCAAGCAGATCGAGGATGTGCTGGGCGAGAAGTTGGACGATATGTTGACGTAGTTGGGATGATGGCGTTGGTTGTATATGAAAAGTTATATAGAGTTGAATCATGTCCATTATGCAGTACCTATCTCCCTGAAGGAGTTGAAGAACTAGTGAACCCCTTGCGCAGATTGTCGAACCGCGAAGTCGGATACTCGAGGTGATTCTCGCTCTGATCGAGCGCAGCAACGCCCCCGAGTTCATCAACCAGCTATCCCGTCAGTCAGCACCCAGCAACCACAACCAGACAACAGAAAGGAAAGAAGAGAAAGCACTCACAATACTAATCAAACTCCCCTCCCCACCCCCATCCCCACTACTCTCCCACCACATCGCACCCCCCAACTCCCTCTCCCGAATATACGCCCCTTTCCACCGCGCCACGGCCGGCGTATCATAGCTAACCATCACCCTCCTCGCCGCATCATAGCTCCACGCCGCACCCACGGCCTCCATCTCGCTGACCACCGCGCCCGCCCTCGGCAGCGCCTTGTAATCCCACACCCCGGCCTCCCAGCTGCCCTCGCCGCCGACCCCATGGAACGCGCTGCCCGGCCCGTCCGTGTCCGCAAACGCCCGCCCGTACAGCGGCATCCCCAGCACGAGGCGCCGCGCCGGCACCCCCTGCGCCGTGTAGTAGTCGACCGCCTGGTCCGTGTTGAACGGCGTGCTGGCGTTGCCGTCCGCCGCGGCGTGCAGGTTCGCGCTGTGCGCGGCTGTCCGGTCCCAGCTGCCGGCGTAGTCGTATGCCATGAGGTTCCAGAAGTCGAGGTGGGCGTTCATGGCGGAGAGTTTTAGGGTTGTGAAGTGCGAAGGGCCTAGCCTGTTACTTAGTGGGAAGGGAAAGGGGGAAGGGGGGAGGGACAGGGTACCGGCTGGACTGGCGACGGTGAGGAGGAAGTGTTTGCCGTCTGCGTGTGCGCGGCTGTACAGGTCGAGTTCCTCGCGGACGGCCTGCAGCAGGAAAACGTAGTCGGTGGCCTGGGCGTCGGTCTCGGGGTACTACATTATCAGCACAGGTACTACAGATAGGTCGTGAAGAAGAAGTGAAGGCGAAGGTGATACCTCCCAATCAACATCAATCCCATCAAACCCAACATCCTGCATGATATTGACGGCCGACTCAGCGAACCTCTTCCGCCCGGCCGCGCTGCTCGCCGGCGCGGCAAAGTTCTTCGAGTACGTCCACCCGCCGACGGAGAGGAGGACCTTCAGCGCGCGGTTGCGCTGCTTCAGCAGGAACAGCTGCTTGACGCAGCCGTAGGCGTTGGCGGCGGCGGGCTCGGACCAGGAGTCGCCGGCGTAGTGCTTTTCGAGGTCGGCCCAGGGGTCGGTGAGGTAGACCTCGCCGGACTGCGGGTTGATGTTGGCGAAGGCGTAGAGGACGTGGGTGAGCTTGTTGATGGGGAGGTCCTGCGGGTGGTGGTTTCGGCCGTAGATTGCCTGCGCGTGGGATTAGTGTGCGTATTGTATGGTGGGGGAGGGGGAGGGGGCGCACCCAGTTCACGTAGTAGGCGGCTGAGATATAGCTGGTTGTGTTGGTTGGGGGGTCGAGATCGGGTGCGAGGGGGTCGACTGGAGCTGCGCGGGTCAGCCATGATAGACAGAGGAGAATGAAGAGAAGCATTGTGGTGGTTGGGGTTGGGTATAGAGGGCTGCTGACGGAGAGAGGATATATAGAGGAAATCGGAGTATCACTACGTCGTACTCAATGTTGTATAGTACATAGTATACTGCAGGTGCCCGGTTGTGGCATACAAACATGCAGTCTATATTCTTGTATACAGTCGCGATTCCAACGCGTATTGTTTGTTCATTGGGTGCTTTTGATTTGGATGGAGGTCGGATATGGTCTGGATATGAAAGTGTCGCGACTCATGCTGCTGTGCTGCGGTGCCAGGGCGTGTTTCACGCCTGCGTAGATAGTATTAGTCGTCGAGAGGCCAGCGGCTTACTGAAGAATAGACAAGGCTGGCTTTGTTCGACATCTCGGTCGTCGAGACTGGACTGCCTCGGAGATTTAGACGCATGGCAGGCTGATTCTAGACCCAACCGGGCAGCTCTGTCAGGATAGATGTGAATAGTATCAGACAGATGTTAATGTACTGCGGTAGACCATAGAATATACACAATATTAATCTATTACCATTAAACAAGTTCAAAGCATGCTATCATAACTCGAGACATGGGTATCCAAACGCCAAAACACTTTTATCCACATCATATGTACTGTCAACGCAATCTAGCAAGCTCTCACCCCAGGCCGATCCGGCGCCCGAATGGCCGAGTACTCCGGTGGCGCATGTGCCTGCTCCTGCTCTGCCACGACAACCGTTTCCGGGGCAGGGGTCGACACGCTGCGCGGGGTGAAGAACTCCGCGTCGACTTCCTCCGGGGAGATCTCGACCTGCGCCTTGACGCGCTCGACCGCGCGCGGGCGGCACGTCAACTGGATGGGCACGCGCAGCGACGCCGTCGGGGTCAAAATGCTGGCGTTGGGCGTGTGGTAGGAGACACTCAGGTCGAGCGCGTACACGCGCGACGTCAGACACGAGTGAAAGGTCGGCACGAACGCCTTATTCTTCGGCAGCGTGATGGGCACCACCACCGACGCGGTGTAGTAGGTCCTCCCTGCGAAGCAGGCGGACGGCCCCGCCAGCGACTCCTCGGACGAGCTCGACTGGCGCGAATCGCAGCGCCCCAAGTTCGCACCCCCCGCGCAGTGCTTCTTCCACTGCGCCGACGCCACGCACATCGTCGACAGCGGCACGGTCTCGGTGTAGCAGCCGCGGCCCATATGCCCCCAGACCATGGGGCAGATGTGCGAGGGGTAGTCGCCCCAGGGCTCGGCGGAGTAGAAGGTCGACACGCGCAGCTTGGTCCAGATGGAGCCGAGGCGCGGGGGCGCCTCGCCGGCGACGGGGTCGAAGCGCAGATGCACGGTGGCGGCGGAGCTAACCGAGTCGGAGTCGGAGGCCTCGCCGGGGGCGCTCAGCTGGACGGGCTTGGGCTGCGCGGCGGCGACAACCAGACGGCCCATCTTGCCGCGCATGAGGCCGCGCTTGACGCTCTTCTCCTTGCGCAGGGTGTAGACGTCCTCGTTGTCGGCGATGTTGAGCGGCGGCTCCTCGTCGACGGCGGGGAGGATGCGGACTTTCTTGCCGGTGGAGGCGAGGGTCTTGCGGTCTGCGTCGGCGGATGGGCGGTGGGTGACGGAGGCGCGCACGAGGTAGGCGATGCAGCACATGGTGGGCGCGAGGTCGTCGAGCAGTGTTTTGCCGTTGCTGGCGAGCATGGGGTCGCCCAGCGACGGCGGGAGCAGCGTGTGCGAGCGCTCGACGTGCAGGTTGGTCTTCTTGTGGCTGCAGGCGTGCGGGAGAAGACGATCTGGCACGACGAAAGTAAAGGGGAATTGATAGGTGCGGCCGGGCTCGAATACGCGCGGCGTTGGGTAGGCCGTGGGCTCGATGGGCTGGCGCAGGCGCAGGAATGTTTGCGCGGCGCCAGTGCGGCCGGGCATGGTGACCCTTTCTACGGAGGTGCGCGAGGTGCCTATCATTATATTATTAGATGGGGAGGATATATTATAGGTATGTGTATGTTGGGCGTACCTTCAAAGGTGATGTCGACATCATCGAATCGGATATCGTGGTCGGCGGTGATGGTGACGGTGCCCTGGATGCAGTCGCCGGTGGTGTAGGAATTGACCAGACCGGTTTGCTGGCCATCCAGATCGATGGAGATTTTGGGACGTGCGCGCGAGGTAAATTGCTCGAGGGAGCTGGAGGCGCCGGTGATGATGGAGGATGCCATGGGGATGTATAGATGCGCCGAGCGCACGACTCGTACGGAGTATAGGATTCGATATTTGAAACAATCAACAATCGAGAGACAGAGGGACCTTTAAAGAAAACAGAAATCAAATCGAATAAAATAAAATAAGAGCAGCAGGATCTACTCCGTACTGGGAAGAATGTAGGGATGGGATGATCGTTACCGTTGGGTAATGGTAACAGTGGAGTAAATAGTATGGATTGTTATGGAGCAGTTGATACCCCAGGCCCCGTACTTTATATCTACAGATTATAGGATGTGTCTGGAGAATGAATCAGATGGAGATGTTCACGAAGGGCGTGCTGTGAGTCACTTGCTGAGAAATCCCGAATGCGCTAGAAGGAGCAGACGGATGCGATCACGAAGCCACAGAGTACATCGTCAGAGTGAAGAATCTCCAACCAGCTGCCTGTTTGGCCGCGAAGGATTGAAGGCTGTCGGGCCGATTGGCTGGGTCGGGGGGTGCGCCCTTGGATTGACATTGAGACCCATTATTAATTAGGGTCGAGCAGTGACGCATGTTCATCCTCTGTCCTTGTATTCCTAGAACCCTAATTCAACTATAGATTGGACTAGGAGATGATTGACATGGCGTGATTGCCCATGCCTATCGAATATCCATCAATCAATGTTTCAGCACAGACAGAAACTATTCGTATAGTTCTACCGCGGAAATCCAGATGACGCCCGGTGTGTGATGAGGACCTGGAGGATGCTCATTGCTCCACCACGCCCTACGACATGGCCATCTACAAGTAGTTAGTCTAGTCTACGTTCCCCTCGTGGACTAGTCGGATCCCAAAATTCAGAAAAGGATCTGGTCTGGTTGGGGGATTTCCAGTCGGATCTCGTATTAGATTATAAAGCATATCCCTGTGACTAGTTACTAGTTACTAGTTAACTAGTTAACTACAGAGCAGAATGACGCCTATACTCTTCTCTTCTCTTCATCTCTTCAATCACGCAATACCTTGGTATAATACTACTAGATTCTAGATCTTGAAACATCAATACTAGTAGTACAAAAAACGGCTCTAACCGAACTCCCCCTCTAACCGCGCCTAACCGCCCGGTAAACCCCCATTCTCTTCCTTTTTTTTCCCTTTCTTCTTCGCGGGATCCCGATCTCTATCGGTCCATTATTGCCTAATAGTAATGAAAATGACACCGCTTAATTCTACCTCACATGCTGCGGACTATATGAACATCCCTAGCTCCATCGGCTGCTGCCGTTTCCCGCCGGACTCTGCTACAGCTACAGCTACTTTTCCGTCGGTTCCATTCCGAGCGGGTCGAGCATTATTAGGGTCAGGGATACAGACATTTCATCATCTGTCCTACAGAACATATCCCAACTCCACCCGAGATATCCATACTCCGTAGAATGCCTAAGCCCTCCCCTTGGCAGCCATCTCCCGGTATCGCCGCGCCGTCTTGCGTCGAATCCGTTTCCCATACACCACCATCCCCACCAGCGTCATCGTCACCCCCAGACTCATAAACCCGCACGCGATGAACATCTTCGTCAGTCCGTTCGTCTCCATCCACGGCGTGATCGCGAACGGGATGCCGATGCTAAACGCATTCCGCAGGAAGGCAATCCCCGTGAATGCATCGCCGGTGATCTACCCAGTTAGCATATTCCGTCCGTCCATCGAAAAACGCAGAACTCACATCCACATAGCTGTCAATCACCAGAGTCAAGCACGCATCGCCGATACTCCCCAGGCCAAAGCCGAACAGCGCACCTCCCACGCTCGGAAGGATCCAGTGCATGCCCTGCGCTCGTCAGTACCGGGTCCGTTCATTGCAACTAAAGAAAGCGTACTCGGTCCACTGTCACCCCAAACATGATCAACCCCCCGCACAGCGCCAGCGCCGGAAGATGCAGAATGTACAGCCGCATCTCTGGCTCGTAGTACCCCTGGTTGCGTCGCGAGAAGAACAGAATCGACCAGTCGCCCAGGAACCCGCCGTAGAACGAGCCGATCAGGTTGCCCACGAACGGCCCCAGGCTCATGTAGCCGATCTGCGCCGGGGTGAAGTGATAGGGCGGCATCGGAAACACTCGCGAAATCACGTTAGACAGAATCGTCAGCCAGACCACGCCGCACGCATACTGCAACCCACAGCACAGCACGGCGGGAAACGTGAGTAGCACTTGAAACGGGCGGTAGAAGTACGGCCAGATGGGCTCCGGGGTGTAGCTCGACAGACGCAGTCGGTGCCGCCAGGTCTGCATGGGGATCGTGCTGTCGATTTCGTGGTTGCTGGCGCTGACGGTTTCGGGTTGGTCTGCGGCTTTCATGGTTGATTTACTATCGTCTTTCAGCCCGTCCACAGCCGGTGTCTCGTCGATTGATCCTGTCCGGATGCCCTCAATGACCGTTGAATATTTGGTCTCCTCGTAGAGGACGATGAAGAGCAGGAAGAGAATGGCATTGCAAATGCCAAGGGTCCGGTACGACCACCGCCAGCCTTCTGTGGTTGCTTGGGTCCCCGCGGCCATAGGGGTAAAGGAAGCTCTGTCTGCGTCAGACAAGCACAGAAGCACATCAACACGGACTCACTCCTATCATCATCATGGTCATGTACAGGGCATTCATGCTGCCGCGGTGATGCACAAAGAACAAGTCCGCAATCTGACTCGGTTAGCCCAAGTACACAGCACAGGAAGCATGACTGACAGTGATTTGAACAATGGCCTCGTTGGTCGCCCCCGCCAACCCCTGAAGAAGGTTTGCGATATAGAGCTCCGTGAGACTCTTCAGCTCCGAAGTCCAGAACGAAGTGACCAGCATCAGCGCCGTAGACACCAAGTAAATCGGACGTCGGCCATACTTCTTGGCCAAAGGTATAAAGAACACACATCCCATCGCCAGCCCGACGAACATAACCGACATCACCTGGTTGAGCTGCGTATAGCTGACCTGGAGGTCCACGACCATCAGCTGCCAGAAGATTGGCTGGATGCTGAGTCTGTGCCTGACGTTAGTGCAGTCATTCAATGGCTAGAGAAAAAGGCCTACGCCGTAAAGATCAGACATGTCACCGCTAGGACCAGCGTGAAGTTGACAGTCTTGCGTAGTGTGCTCCAGTTCTATCTTGTTAGCACGGATTGGCGAATGAACGGACGGCATGGAACGTACCAGCGGCTCATTGGGATCTTTTGATGGAACAGGGCTGAGCATGACTACTCTATCGCGACCGGATACTTCGGCTTCATCGTCTATGCCATGTTAGCTGGTCCCACTGACAGTATACCAGACATACCTCTGATGAGAAGAAAGGTTCCGGGAGGGTGAGCATCTCCAGGAAGAGGAGCTTGGATCTCGCTGTCCACCATCGGCTCTGGTAATATCCTGTTGATGCAGAAAGAAGTCACACAGAAGACAGAGTACTGTTGGATGAAGCTGTCAGGCAAACCTCAGGGGCGCCTCCCCTTGATAAAGGAGTCCGTCGGCTCAATTCTATACATCGGTACTCGCTATGCAGATAAGATCCGGAGGCGTTCTGAAGGTTCGCACATGAGGCATAGTGTAATGCGGGGGAATCGTCGTTGCGCGTCGAGATAAGAAACAAGGGGATGGAGTGCTGGGGATGATCGTGGCGATCACGCCGAGCGTTCGGAATGGGGTCGACCTGCCCGAAACGGATAGTCCGTTGGCGCCTGGTCTATCAGTAGGCTGTCGTGTCGCTGAGGACAACAAGATTTGATGATGGTTCTCCTATAAAGCAGATATCAATAAGGATGTGATAAGTGCCGAATGGGGCAGGTCCTTCCTCTGTCACTAGGAGGATTCATATCTGACAGATAACCGACTCTTTCAATATACAAAGGCGACACGATACATCGGTAGGATAACACCGCAGTGGAGCTTGCAAAGATGGCAGGGATAGGCCCCCTACAGCTTTATCGCGTGCACAATGGTATGAACTTCGCTGCATGACAACCGACAATAGTTGAATCTTACCCTGCTCCTAGACCACCGATCAATATCCGCAGTCGCCCGTACGATCACTCTCTCTTTCTCCCAAGATCCGTTGATACGATGGTTGCGCCCCAAAGCTGCACCATGGGGAGAAGACCAACCAGAGGTTCATAGGTGGCAGGAGAGACGCATCCAACGAGCAGTCTTGGACGGGATGGTGTTTCAATCTGCACCGGCTACACAGCTCGCTAAGCTGCTTCCGCCCAAAGACCCATCCAAAGCACTGACGATACGTGACATCGAAACGAAAGACCGGCTGGATGCAGGGTCCGCAGTTCTGCTATTTCCTCCGGATGGGAGATTAAAATGGACGTTCGGACGCATGCTGTTGGCTGTCAGACTATGGGTTAAGGACAGGTTCAGTCCTCTACCAGACAAGGGAGCCGACGAAGGAGTAAGTCGAGACATACCAGCCCCTACTGGAGGACAATGCTGACTGAACCAGAGGGTGGAAATACTGATGAATGCCCACAATGATGCTATTGACAAGATCAGAGCTCAGCATGTTCAAAACGTATGGTATCTAGAGGTGGTGGCGGTCCACCCTTCGCTACAGTCCCGGGGCCTAGGCGCAAAGGTCATGCAGTGGATACTGGACTTCATCGAGCATGACGCCATTATGCTGGAGTGTACCTCTGAGAGCAACATGAACTTCTACAAGAGGTTCGGCTTTCGTGTTGTGGAGGAAGTGTCCCTCGAGGATGAAGACGGTGCGGTCAAATGCTGGATGATGCTGCGCGAAGGCACACAAAAAGAGCAATGATTATAGTGTCCGCTGTTCGTATACTAGAAAAGAAATATACACTCAGTGTAATCCCAACTCCACTCCACGAGATCGGGCAAGCGCATGCACATCGGTATCCCCCGCGGGATTTTGCCAGCATTCTTCCAGCAACTCCAACAAGAGGTTACCATCGGCGCCAATCTCCGAAAGATCACGGCGAAGAAAGAAGCACCGTCTGACGACATTTTTGAATGCGGGATCTGAATTGATGACCTTCGATTGCAATCCAGCCACAAAGACCGGATAGTGTACGGCGTTGAGAATCAATGAGTCCCTCCCTTCTGGTTCGACTGAAGCCCTGCAGATCGCGTCGAGACAGCTGAGGATGCGCGGGACAAGAAGGTCGGTTTCTGGAATTGCAGGATTAGTATAGATTTGTGGGCTTGCTTCCGGCGGCCCCTCATATAACTGGCCGTGTCGCACGGTTAAAATCCCCGCCATGCGATATGCTTCCCACAGCTGATGCTGGAGTAGGTTTCCTCTGCAGCCTGGCCAGTTCCAAAAGTCCTCCTCAGTCGCTCCGCCCTTGCCAATCCTAGAGTATATGTCAATTAATGACCGCGGTATACCGCTCATAACCTCGACGCCGTCGCTATCAGCCGACTGTTTTTGGCGGATGGTACAATATGCTCTCCAGAAGCCAAGCGAAGGATTCTGTCGGCCAATCGCAAAGGTCGGAAGATCCATCACGCCCATCACCTCCAGCAGGTGGGTGCGAAAAGGCGGCTGTTGATCTCGGCAGACATCAAGGCCTTGGGTCTGGAGGATCCGGTACATGCCATGCAGATGCATGGTCCAGGGTAGTCCGTGCACAAGCTGGATAAAATTAGCATGTGTTTGTCGGCATTTAAAGACCCAGACGCACCCCGATACTGCATAGAATTAGACCCGCAGTGAGGGTCTCGTCTTCGAGGCGGGTCACGCTACGGCTCAACTCCAGTCGGAATTGATTCAATGCCGCATCGAAGAATTCAAAGAACCGAGGTCTCATATCTCGTGATATTGATGATTGAAAAGCAACACATATGATATAGAGTGCCTTTGACTTTTGACATAGCCCTGGCAGCCGCGGTGCGAGTAGGTTTCCGGCATCGTTCACTGCAGTAGAATGCAAGGTGTGGATGCCGGAGGATAGGACTGTCAGAGTTCGTCAGAAGAATCGTATGTTGACATATATCCAGGAAACTCATTACACTGGTAGAACAGTCTCTCTTCATCGGTAGGAAATTCAGGACACCAGGAGGGTGAAACTGTAGAATCCGGAGTTGAACCGCTCTGGGATGTCCGAGGTGCGGCATCGAGAACTACATCGTTAACAATTGCCATACAACCAGATAGGGTATGGAGACACAGTCCCACCTTCGCCAAATCCATCTCCCATCAGTGGAGAAACCCCAGATGTATCTTCTGACAGTCTCTCAGTCCCCTCCCGCCGTCTCTCTCGAAGTCGATCTCTCCGTCTGCCCTTCTCTCGGAACGGAATGGCCGCTTCGACCGGCTCTCCAGCCCCAGTATACCGGCCTCGGGATGCAATGCCGCTGCCCCATCTGAGTCGCACTCCATAGCCCTCGCACGCAACACCGCGCTGGTTGCAGGCGAGACAAGCTGGACGCACGCGGTCACACTTGCGCCGCTTCGCCTTGCACGTCCAGCAACCGTCGTGCGAACGCTGACGGGGGGTCGACATGCCTAATCGGAGTTGTGAATATACCATTGCATGAGGATCCATGAAATAGGGGTCTCGATTGCCTAGCAGTTTATCAAGCATGCGGGGAGTTGGAGAGTCTGGATCCGCTCCTCATCGCCCCGCGTCGACCTGCCGCATCGGGCGTTAGCCGGCAGTTATCATTGCCGCGTTGGGGTGTAGTTTATAGTGACGGAGTTATAATAGCGAGATAGACTATGCTTCAGATCTGTATGATCGTCGTGTACATTATTCCGCACCTCTCTACTTCATACAGTCCTTACGCACTTGTGGCCATGTCGTTCAAGACTCCTGTGGCGAAATGCTCAACGCATATCCCGACTCTGGGCACTCTGGATGGATGGGAATATGACAACGGGGTGCAGCAGTTCTGCGGCATACCGTACGCGACCCTGCCCAAGCGATGGACACGATCCTGTCTAAAGACCTCGTGGGAGGGCGAATATCACAATGGGACGAAACTCGGGTATCTTCACGCTCTCCGCAACTATATCCCAATACTGACCTTGTAGAAACAACTGTCCAAGCCCAATCACCGAAGGCGACGACTCAAACGACCTAGTCCCAGTCCCACAAGCTCCCCATTTCAACTCCCCAGAGACAGATGAACTCACCGGGCTGGTAACGAACATCGTCATTCCTTGCGCACCGGGAAACCAAAAGTACCCCGTGTTCGTCTACGTGCACGGCGGCTCATTACTCTACGGCGGCGCCAACCTCCCCATCTTCGACTCGGTGAACCTCGTTTCGCACAGCATCCGCATCGGCGCACCCGTCATCTGCGTGAATTTCAACTACCGCGTCGGCCTCGGCGGGTTTCTCGCCAGCGAGGCCATCCGCCAGGAACTCCAACGCGACGGCCACGCGGGATGCGGGAACTTCGGCTTCACCGATCAACAAGTCGCGTTTGAATGGGTTCAGCGGTATATCGCCGATCTCGGCGGCGACCCAGACCAGGTCACGGCCGTGGGCGAGTCTGCGGGCGGCATTTCCATCAGCAATCAGATGGCCGCTGCGCGTCCGCCGAGGTTCCGTCGTGCGGTGTGCATGTCTGGCCTGTCGGTGTCGATCCCGCCATGGACGATGGAGCAGCATGAAGAGCTCTTTCGGGCTACGTGTCAGTATTCTGATATCGATCCGGTGCGACCGGATGTGATGGATTGTCTTCGTCGGGTGCCGCAGCAGGACCTCGCCAACGCTACCAGCGCGATTCAGGGGGTCTTGTCTGGCACGGGGAATCCGTGTCTGGATGGGTGGTTCTACAGGGCGGACCCGTTGGGGATCAGGGAGCCCCCGGAATGGGTGGAGGCTTTCATGCTCGGGGATACGTATCACGAGGGCGTCATCTTCCACTTGAACCTGTTAGAAGACGACTACGCGTCTGTCCGCAGGACGCTATTCGACCATATTGGCAATGATGAAGAGACCAACCAGATCCTCGCAGAGTACGGTATTCGGCCCGACATGCCCCAGGAGGAGTTCCTCAGACGGGTCGAGCATATGTGCGGAGATGTGATATTCAAGATTCCAAACTATGCGACGGTTCTCGCCAGCGAGCGGCTGGCTGACAGCAACGCCCTCTTTGCGTACCATTTCGACCAACGATCCCGACTGAAGAACGCCCTGGAAGGGACGGCGTATCACGCGCACGAGCTACTCTATCTCTTCGGCAATCTGGATAATGAGCTGTCGGAAAAGGAGATCCGCATGTCGCGAGACTTTGCCACGGCGTGGATTAAATTCTGCTACGGCCAGTCGCCGTGGACACAGAACAAAGGGACATGGAAGGTATGGGGGCCCGACAGCGTGCAGGCTGTGAAGGATGAGAGTGCAGACGAGGAGGTGCGTTCGTACGAGCGTATGAAGCGTCTACTTGGCCTAGGGAATGGGGAGACATGGCGAAGGTGGCTTAACGGTGTCGATGCGTTGGTCAACAAGCGGATGAATTTGGGGCATGCTAAATAACGCTGTCTCAGCGATTCAATCGTCCGATAACTAAACCCATCTTGCAGAATATAATGTTACAGCATGGCAGTCCTCATTCTCAGCCAGCGTCAACTTCGCTCATGGTAACACATAACCACCATCGATGATCACATCACTTCCAGTCATATACGACGACGCATCACTGGCAAGATAGAGATACAACCCCTTAATCTCCTTCACATGGCCCTGCCTCCCCAGCGCCGACATCCGATACGCCTCGTTGAGCACACGCGGCTCGGCGCCCATCTTCGTCTCGAAGAAGCCGGGAGAAACAATATTCACGCGTGCGAAATCCCGCCACTCGCGGGCGATCGACTTGCCAAAATGGGTCACGAAAGCCTTGCTACCGTTGTAGATGGGCTGGTCAACGGGGACGTTGACAATGTGGCCGCTCATGCTGGAGGTGATGATCAGGTTGCCGAACCCTTGTTGGCGGAATACCTCGCCAACGTACTTGGCGCAGTAGAGTACGCCGTCGACTGTAGCTGTTTAGCTGGGGAAGGGTATGTTGGGAGGGGATGCGTACCATTCACCGACATCTGCTTGCGGTACTCCTCGAGGGTCGTCTCGAGAATCCCCTTGGAGATGCCCATTCCTGCATACTTTAGCAACTGGATCACCCAAGCCAGCAGGACGGGAAGATGGAAGCATACCAGCATTGGCTACAAAAACGTCAATCTTCCCAAATTCTTGGACGGCGTCGGCGATGCCCTTCTGGACCGCTTCCGCATCGGAAACTGCGTCTGGTTAGCACGTTCTTCTATCAGTACACAACATACGAACCATCCACTTTGTATGCAGCGGTCTTGGCCCCATGCAGCTTAGCCAAGCCCTGCGCTTTCTCAATTGCAACGTCGTTGCTTCCACCGTCATTAGGAAACTCGCTTCCAACGACAGACTGACACACTTACGAGTTATACCACATCGCAACATTCGCCCCTGCCTCAGCCATCGCCTCCGAGACAGCATATCCAATACCATCAGCGGCACCGGTGACAACAACTACCTTCCCGCTCAGACTCAGCTGCTCCAGCACGTTGTTCGGGGTGTTGGGGAACGGCCGGGGGAAGCCATCTCGGACGACGGCACTATCCTGGATGGACATGGACATTTTGACGGTGTTATGCAGGTGGCGGCGGTTGTGGCGTGAGAAAAGGCAATATAAAGTGATTATGGTCGATATCAACGGCTTTTAACACATGGCCGTGACGGGCAACAGACAACAGACGGTTAAAAGCGCCTGCCCCACCTGGGCTTTAACCGATGTGAATCCCACGCTATGTCGCGCTATGGAGGACCTCCTTCGCATCGCAGTCGTGCAATAATAATTCCCCCTGTCGTGCCATGGCGTCGAAATGAAACCCCGCGATACCCCGCTGTCGTCCGGAGAACAGTCCGCCGAGATCAACACTATGGATGGAGTATACAGACAGTCTATGTAGACACCCGCGGATGACATGCGTCCATCGGTATGCGGCTACGTCACGCGGAACCGACTGCATGTAAGACTATCGAATAGGCAGGATGGTCTATAGCGGGGTTCCATGGATAACCGCTGTGTTGAGCTTTAACTGGAAGAATTAATAATCTATTGAATAAGGTATACTATGTGTGTTGTTGCCTAGACACAGAAACAACTCATCTAAACCCCGTGTAAACCAATGTCTCGGTGTCCACGGTCCCTTATACCGATCCAACTGAAACCTACAGCTTTGCGTCCCTGGGCAATACTGAGTTCTGAACCCGTTCTTCCGTCACAAGCATCTCCTTCGGGAACCATGAAAGGTCTTCGTTTCCAGCAAGTCCATCATGCTTCAACAGCATCCGCCCTAACGCCTTACCAGAGAGCCAGGTCTGCACCATGCCCTCTCCACAGCAAGCATTCGAAATCCATTCGCCCCCCTTGCCTTCTGCCGGCGAGTCTCTCAAGGTCGCAGATCGAGGCAACTTGCCAACCCAAGGCAGTCCATCGGCACTATACGCCATGCTGCCGGTCCACATCTGTTCCACGCTGGGACCAGAAACGCTCCCCCAATTCTCGCGACCAAAGATAGCGCTCAACGCGCCAGATAGATGGATATCGGCGTAGAAGCTCAGCTCCGAGTCAGTGGCGATGCCCAAATCACCAACGCCTCCAGCTTCGCTTTGCGCGAATCCGCCTCCAAACATCATCTTCCCGGCTGTTTCAGCATCCCCGTCGCAGGGAAGCTGGGTCAGATAATCGAAACCTCGGTCGTAATTGATTAGCCATGAGCGGTGTTCCCCCTGGCAGACAAACTTGCTTCCGGGGTTTTGCGCCGACATTTGTCCGCGTAGTGGGAACAGTCTGCCTCTCACCCCTGGGAGTAGGTGGCCGGCATGGGCGTTCGTACAGTGGACTACATGGCGAGCCTTGATGGTACCCCTCGGTGTGACAACCGTGTATGGGAGTGCAGCTGTCTCTGCGGTGGATCGAATCTCGGTCACAGGAGTGTGTGTTTCAATAGAAAGATTGTCTGGGAACTCCTTTCGCAGGTGGTCCAACAACCCGGTGACGAACCGGTAGGGCCACATGGCTCCTGCAGGGCCTGCGATGATGCCGCAGGCTCGGGGAAGAGAATACTCCTAGTGATGATATTAGTGTCTAAATCAGTACATATATTCTTCTTGCATACCTTGGGAATGTCTTCCTTCTCGATCAGTTTCCATTCCGCAGCCTCGTCAGGCATACACTCCTTAAACCGCTGTATACAACTTGCTGAAGCTCGCCACCTCTCCTCGTCGAAATGCACACTCAGAAACTGCACCTTCCTCACCTGGGCCTTTTCAGTAAGATCATATTCCTCCGCAACCTCCAGCAGCTCCGGTCGGTGTGCGAGTCGAAACTTCATGATCCGCTTGGCAATGTCCAGCCCAAATGTTGCCTCAAATTCAGTAAAGTCCTCGGCGGTCTCGAGGATGTGGCCGCCATTTCGGCCTGTCGCCCCACTGCATACATCTCTCGCTTCGAGAATGACAATCGAGGGCCTGGAAGATTTCGCGCCAGAGTCTGTAGACTCTTCGAGTAGGGTCCTTGCAATCGATGCAGCGGTGATCCCGGAGCCGATGATCACGACGTCTGCCTCAGCGGGCAGCTGGGCGGACTGGATCTTTGAGAGTTCCGGGTGCGGTGTCCTCAGCCAGAACGATGATGTCGGGTTGGGCGTGGGAATTCCCGGATCTGAGAAGATGCGGTCCAAAGCAGCTTGACGGTCTTTGACGGGGATTCCCGTATCGGACAGGAAATAGCGCACGAGTGCCATGATAGAGAATACGGGGTATTTAGAGCGTCCCGAGGTATGTCAAGGAGCCTCTGGATGAGCGAACTAGCGATTCATGAGGAACAAGGCTGGTTGCAGGGTGCGCTCTATGTAGGCTGGGGAGTCACGCCAAGGTGAGTGGGGGAGAATCCGATCTGATATCGGCGATGCTGCGGATTACCCCATTAGGCAGGTTGACCCTTTTCATATTATGGCTTGATGTCGAATAGACTACCTAGGCTTCTATGAACAGGATGGACTTTACGATTAGGATGGACTTTCTTTTTCAGTAGAACCCAGCACGTTTTCATCTCCAGAGAGTTGGTCTGGTTCGTACCAAGGCATGAGTAACCCTACTACTGTATGACTCAACATGGTACGGCAAATCAGTCGGCAGTCGCTGCAGATAGGTGAAGCACGATGCGATTACTTCCTGATGAGGCTATCCCTGTCAGAGGCGAGATCATTCCGTTTCAGGCATAAAGTGGTGATCACGAAAAGCAATGACGGTCTGCTCTGGAGTCACTAGGGTAGACTCAAAATGAGAGATGACTTTATTGTATGGATTTTGCCGGTCGCATTTGCTTCTGACAGTATGGCATAGATAAGCCCTAGATAAAGTCTCATTACATCTTCCTTTTGAGTGGAGTTCAATGGGGATAGCACGGAGTAAAGATATGCGACGTTCAGTCAAAGTGTCGGAAAATTTCTGGGCCACAGATTCGAAGATAATAGCGCCTAGATGTTGCACCCATAAAGCGACAAGGGTCCCTGCAAATTGGGCCCTGGTCGTTTTTGGCCCCAGCATGAGCTTAAGTCGATTTAGCTTAGATGGAACATTCCCAGCGCTTGGAAAAGCAACATATATCGGCAAGAACAACAACAACGTTTGCGACTATCAAATATATTCGAGGGAGCCCCCAGAATAACTGTGTATACCATGCTCGTCGTTTCTGCTCCACTGATCATAAAACCGTATAGTCGTAACACATCCCTGTCCCTGAAGGTCCAGCCTGGGGACTATGTACATCAATATCGACAGAAGCTCGATCCACACAGTAGATGAGCGTCATCGAAATATACAACAATACCAGCAGAGCATATGGTGTGGTACTCGCAGTCCGATTCTCGATTATGCGCGGTCGAAGGCAAGGTAGGAAGGACGACATCGGAAGGCTCATTCAGCTGGTTTGAACTCGTACCGGACACACCCAACATCGACCCAACCGCCGGCCCCTCCGTTGATGCCTAAATCTCTATGTCAGTAAATGGCGTGGTGAGGTAGAAGGGCAATTCTCACAATCTTTCCAGTTGTTTTGGAGGAGATCCACACACATCGTCCCCTCAAAGGGCTCAACCACATCTTGTGGCTCTCCCTCACAATCTTCAACCCAGGAGATCACATAGTGATAGAGCGTGCCCTTTGCTTCATGCGTCCATGTAACTTGATTTATGCCAGGTGCCATTACACCCAGATATTCGAGACAATCTTCGGCACCAGCGTACTGCGTCTCCTGAGCTACATCACCGTGTCTGGGAAACTCGTCAACACCGTAGCAGTTTTGAACCATCGCTTGCGCAATGGCCACTAAACAAAGGGTACAAGTAAGGAGGAAGTATGTGGGAGTTGAAGCCATGGCGTATCAAAGAGACGAGTAATGGAGGTTTGAATCTGGTGCCGTCCTGATGCACGATGGAATAATCATCGAGTCTGGAGGTATCGGGGTCCACAGGGACATTTTAATCCTGGTGATCCAAATACACGTACAAACACAAGTGACTTATATGATCCTCCATGAAATGTTGAGACACTACAGCATTGAGGGTCACCACTCTCATAACATACTATACCTCGCTTATCTGCATGGTATAGCCGCTAAGAGTGTTCAGGCCGCCATGGAGGCTCTACACCCGAACGAATGGGACAGATGCCCTGGAAGCATTCGTATTTTTAGCGCTGCCAGGAATGCCAACGAAGAGCCCTAAACGTAGCGGTGAGCCACGTCAACGCAATAAAGTTCCACACAACAGAGAGGGGGATTTCGCCCGGATCCTTCCACTGACAACACACTCATCTTAGGTTTGTGATAGGATCATAAAGCAGAGAGTGAGGCTTCACATGACAGAGGACGCGCCGACCCAGACTTTTCGATGTTCATCAGATGGATTGTTTCTCGGCCAGGACCAAAGAAGTGGCTACGACCATAGCTTCCACTCCAGTAAATGGAATCCTGACCTGACCGAGCCGATGAGGCGAGCCAGCCTACTCAATTGTGATTGATGCAGCTGAATGTGATAGACATCATCTGGGCTTTGGGCAGATTGGGTCCGAATGACATTCCTTTCTTTTTCTCAGGTGCCTAAGCGAGTTTGGTTGAGACCAATCGTAACGCAATTCGAGACGATATCACTCCTAGAAAATCACGGTGTAATATCTTTATTGTTTACAGTATGTATATTAAACTATGCCTTAGGTTGTAATTACATTATTAGAGTATAACATAGGTGCATTACTGCATTCCTTTTCGTTGGATTCCCAGCTACTCCAGACTACGTTAACCTGGTTGAAAACACATGTCGTAAGAACCGTTTCAGTCTACGCATGTGGTATATCGTTGGCTGCTTATAATAACAGAGAAAGTACATTCTCTGGTCCCATTTGCTTTGTTTACGAGCCCGAGCTCGCCGAAAATGCACAGTGCAGACCTGAAGATACCTGGGAAGCAGGCTAAAAGCAACCCCATCTTTCGACCCTTCAAGTGTGGTAATCCTATCCAGTAGTAACCATTGCAGACATGAAGGGACATTTTCAATTTTGTTTAAAGCTTTACATGTACATTTGACCCTCTGAAGGCTGTACTACATCGCAGGACGTGAAACTGCAATGCGGAAAACGAGTCTCCCCATTACAGTCGGAATCAACACATTCCATTTCCAAGGATGCCCTATCCCCAATGGAATTCCTTGCTGGTACAATTTCGCCCCATATAATAGGCTTCGTTCCCGGATTGACATCATGTCGCGGGGGGTGGCAAGCTGCGCTAATCGCAGCACTGCAGCTTCCAGCCAGGGGAATACATGACCCATACGTCCTCATCGATAGGACGCCAAGAGCCAGTACCATCAAGCTGCCTACCGCTATTGCCAGCACCAGCGCCATGGGTGACCAGCCGCATGCGTTGACGTCCGCATCTGGCACGCGTTTCTGTGTTGCATCATACATGATGACTCGGACATAGAAGATACTTTCAGAAACCAACCAGTGAAGGACGGTGTAGCTCACGAGGAGCGGGATGCTATAGCGGTATGGAAGGCTGAGCCAGTATGTGGAACGTTGAGAACCTTCACGCGGTCCCGAAACACGCAAACCTTTCTTTGGCGTAGACCTGGGTTTCTCAGCATTTGTTGTGGTCCTTGTACTCGCCACAGCATACCCGTCGTATTCGGCAGCCATGACCATGGAAGTTAGGATCGTGTTGTAGAAGAAATATGACAAGGAAATAGCGAGCTGCGGAGTATTTGCCACGAGGACATTCCCCAGGATCGTGGAATTTATGCGGAATATGATTGTGGAAGCGTTCATTGCGCCTAGCCCTAGTTTCCAAAGAGCATTCAAGCTTGTGCCGGTGTTTGAAACCAGTCTATAATCGCTGAGACCACGGTTGAGCAATAGGCCGGAAGCAACGATGCAGCCGACACATCTGGGCAAAAGTTAGCATCGCATTATGGTGACTCTGGCAGACCGAGGTATACAAAATAAGCGTGAAGCCCCATTGCAGAACGTTACCAGATTTCCACCATCGCGTTGTTTGTCGGCGGAGTCTTCTTGGGATAACGTGGCTTCCAGTGCCATTCCAATGCCCGTGTTCACTTTTCCAGTCGTCTTTGGGTGATAGACATCGACCTTGCGTTATCGGATCGGGATTTGAAAGGAAAGACGCGATGGCGTCGCCGATAGTCAGAAGACGAGGTTCGCGTTCATAGAACGCAATGAAAACGATGCAGACGACCTTTATCAAGTTGGTTATGATAACCACGATGGAGAACAATGGACTGAACAACAGCTGGCAATGCTCTTCCACCTTCACACTAAGACAGCCATCGACGTTGTAATGGTTTGTGTATTGGCTAAAGATCATGGCCGTTTTGTCTACCTTGTCACAAACGCTGTCTTCGGCGAAGAAGTCTATATTTTTGGCCCACGTGCTATTCTCCCAATTGCCTGGATTATCCAAATGATGCTGGATTTCCTCGCGAGTTCTCGGCATAGGAGACCAGACATAATGAATCAGCTGAGTGATGTCAACGCATAGAGGATCTCTGTTGTTTCGCGACAGACACGATGGCAGATGGCTTGAGTCAAAGCTCGCGGTTGTATCATTGAAATATGGGATCGTCAATCGCCACTCGGTCCGTGACCAATTCGTTCCAAGAATCTGCCAGTTGGCTAAGTCCTTTTGTAACCGTGATTTGGTGCATGTGTAGTAGTTCCCAATACACATCCACCCGTACGGCGCTGCGGTGACCAACGGTCCATAGTTGTTCACTGAATTTCCCACACCCGCCGAGAGTAGGGTATCTTGATCATTCCATGTGACGTTGTTGGACAAGATAATTAACTCCCCGTGCCCAGCGAGGTAGCTAACAGAAAAGACATCGACGCATTGCTCTTTCGTGAGACTTTTCGGCTTCTCGCGTTCGATGTTCGAGCTGAAGCTGAACAATGACTGGTCCATTTCTGATTGGAAACAAGAGCTGGAATTTTGATGAAGATGCAACGGCTGAGTACCATCGTAGTCTGCGGGAGCGATGTATATATTGTACTCATTGGACCCTTGAGACGAGACTATAACAGAGTTATACCTGCGCGTGAAGTGTCAGGATTCCAACATATGGCTCGGAAATCAGGAAACGGCCACCAACAATGCATGGATAGGAAAGGTTGTCACGACCAATGTAGCCCACATAAGCTTGTGTCTTTTGGTCAATTTTCCGATATTGCGATGACTGGGGACTCCTATATCCATCCAGGATCTCTGGCAGTGTGCCCGGTCAACATCGTACCTTGTAGGCGCGGCGACGAATTGAGCGCAATAGTTACTGGTGGATAGAATTATCGTCCCCAGAACGTTGATGAGCAGGTGGAGTCCGATAGACGATTGCTTTGTGGTAGTACAGCTTCCTTCATACAATGATACTGTCGCAATTCCGTCCTGCTTCGGTCTCGAATAACCAATGCTGAAAGCAGTGATGGCGAGAATAATGTTCACCAGCAAAGCGATACAGGCCGCTGCAGCACACAGTTTCATTCCTGGAGCCATATCTGGCTTCTTCGTAGTCTTCGACTCATCGTCCTCCAAACTGTCATTTGCATCGCTGTGTCTCTGTTCAGCTAGGGCTACGAGGACGAACATCGAAATGGTATATACTGCTTACCTTCCTGTCGTGCCTTCTGTGGCTGCTGCTTTGGCGGCCTCGCTGCGATCATGGACTTGTAATTTTTTAAATGATCCAATCTTCAATATCCTGTTTCCAAGCATTGATGGTTGGCTATAGCGATGTAATATTGCCATTGGGGCGATGCTCGCACTGGACCACAAGCTCAGCCCAGAATGAGTAAGATCCGTCGCAAGAGGCAACGCAGGAAAAGCCTTCCTAGGTATGAATATATGCCTTTGTATCTGCCGACTCCTTAAGCGCCGTATTTACAGCTCTCCGTGGGTGGGGGCTGGATACGAAACCTTCCCTGCAGTAGCGTTGTTATCCTAGATCTGGGGACCAACCCCAAGTGCAGTTTTGCCGCCATGGAACTACTCTTTGAACTAAGACAACGCGCACATAAACACACACAGACTCTCCCCCCTCTTTCACCCAGAGAGTAATGGATTTGTGCATTATGTTTTATAGTGTAGCGTTTGTAGGACTGGACACCTAAGATATCCTGTTCCCAAAAGTGGGCCCATTCCTGGAGTACATACCCGTGCTAGGTGTCGTGGACACAGCACACCACAGCGCAAAAGGCATGTTCGAATCCTTCGGACTATCGAGGTAAAATATGAACAATACATTACACTCGCTCAAATCATATGCTAGGAATGTCCACGAGACGACTGGCACAACGTTTGACAGCCCTCAGCAAAATACAACTCATATGTCTTCCCAATCTTCCCATATGCCGGACCCGTGTTTCCAGCCCAGTGACTCGCTTATAAATTCGACAACCCTCTTCGTAACTTCTTCTTCGTGGGGCACATAGTGCGTGCCATCGAAGCAGACGAGTTTTCCATTTGGACAGATTTCCAGCAAATCCTCAGTCTCGGCTGGCGGGATCATAGTGTCATAATTTCCTGCAATATGAAGGATCGGTGTCTGTATCGGGTGCGTATAATATGCCTCATACGCCGGGTGCGAAAGCCTAAACCCACTAAAACAGACAGTAAACCGGAGCGGTGGGTGATGGAACTGACAAGGGAACCCGTTAGAAAGAGCACTGGACCGTACCATATGGATTGAATGCTCACCTTTGGTAATCCAGTCTGCTTGTTGCTGTTTTCCCTCTCCAGCAATGTGGTCAAGATGATGGCGAGACAAGCGCCTAAGGAGAATCCTATGACCCCAATGAAAGGACCATCGCTGCGTATGACGTCGCGTAGAAAAGGGATGGAAGACTCAGGGCCGAGAAAATTAACTTCATGGATGTCACCATAGCCCCATATGTGCGATTCACTATAATTGTGGTCGTTGTATGACTCGCGGATCAGTGAGTCGAAGCTGTGGTTGTTCTCAACGTCGTCAACAGGACGGTTATCTGGGATAGTGAACGGCGCATCTGGATAGACAAACTCGACTCCGCCGGGAAAGCTTGGGTCTTGTCCTTTTGATAGGCTTGAGCATAATGCCTCGTGGAATCGTTCTCGGATCTCTTTCGTTTTGATTTGGAAGAAGTCTCCGGACTGGCAATTTCCTGTGCGATTTATGAACAGTGCTCTCAATGTGAAGATATATGTGCCAACGTACCGTGGAGCATCAATATCTTGGCCTTTCTTTTGGTGGGAGGTGCTGGTTTGATTGGAGCCATGATGATGTTCTCAATAGACAGTCGATTTTGTTCTGGTTGCAGGATACAACATTCACCACAGGGTAGTCGGTAGCGATTTTATAGTCGTAGATCGGGCACGTGGATCATGCGCGCCGATCTTGACGTAGCAGATCCAAATATTATTTTACTTTTGAGCTCCGAACAAGATGCTTGAATATTTTTTAGATAGGAAACTTGTTTTCCTATCTATACGGACTTGCCGATACTCGATTGGCAACAGTTTCAACGAAGGCCTGGATCTCTTTGACGACAATGACGACTGGAAACGGTTAAAAAACCGTGCAGGCTATAAAATAAAATGGACTGGAAATTGGTGTCGCCTGAGGAGTGGCAATTGCCCTCTACTTATAGCTGAGGGTTTAGAAAACTGGTTACAATCAAATGCCAATGGGGGATTACATCGGAGCTGACTGATGCATTACCAACAGGATAGTTCCCACAGCATAGCGATGAAATGGTGAGTTTCTATACCGGATGAATGAGGATGCATCAAGAGGTGACACAAAAGGATCTTCTGAGCTGTACTGCTGCCATGTGGTCCGGGCCGGATTGGAATGGCAGGATAAGCAGTAAATGACATAGTGTGAACAATGAGCATAACCTGCATATGCGCAACACTATCCTGTTCCATAAGTGTACCGACACAGGCTGACTTCAGATGTGAATTATGAAATTCATGCTTTCTTTACACGCGGAACGGCAAGTTTGGCGAGATAATTTTCTCGAGATCTCCATGGATTAAGTCGCACCGGTTCGGATGATATCCTTCCAGATGAACCATCAGGAGAATAAGCACGGCAATTACGGCATTCGAAAACTCAGATACATTCGGCACACAAGACGTATGAGGTCAGGTCTCTTGAATATGACCCGATGCCACGGAACCGTGGGAAACGTGTAGCAGATCTTGTTTTGAAGCTTCAGCATCCCAGCAACACAGTTACCCGTTTCATAATCAGGCATATCTTATGCAGTACTTCGACTTGTCATGACATCCTCCGGTTTGACGCCCTCAAAGTTGGTCAAGTAGTATGCATCAATCAGGATGCGATCGTCAACGCAGCTCATGACACCCACACATACCAATCCATTCAGCCAATTGTACTTCCCCCGGCCAGCTTCAATGCGCAGGTGAGAAAAGAACTCAACATCAGCCTGGGTAACCGTATCAGGTGGTCGTATCCGTGGATTTGCAGCAACCTGACGACCATATTCTGTCCCTGGTCCAGGGCGGTACAGGCCATGAGCGCGGATATACAGGTGGTGTCCGTCATCGGTCTTAATTGTGTAACGCGCATCAAGAGTCATGCTCTATAGGCAAGGTCAGTTGACAGGCCCTATCTATCCCTTGCTGCCAGCAGCTTACGTGTGTTCCTTCAATCACTGTCGCCCAGTCCGCGCCTCCAAGCGGAAGCACAGAACCGGAAAGCTCTGGTCCTTTGAACGTGCCACCCACGATAGTTGCAATGCTTCGGATGACGCCAGCAGCGTGTGGCGCACCAATCTCGATTTCCTCATTTGATATGTTGCATTCGAGGCGGTACAAAAAGGATAGGCCTGGTCGACGCATTGGGGGGCTCTGAGGGTAAAACGTATTCCCGGGGGAGTCATGCTGCGATTCGGCATTCATTGCGAATCAAATAGTGGATTGGAATAGACAGGATGAAGTTTTATATCAATTGCTGTCAAATATCATTATTTCTTGGTATCTGGCCTGATGTGACACACTTGGAGCAGAATGCTTGACAACTTATACTTCCAACTTCATGGTCACTCATATCTATGGCGCCCTATTTGTAGCCAGCAGGATCAGAAACAGGCAGCTCGACCCTAAGAGGACATAGGGCTATCTCGAAGATTTGACCAGGACTATCGCAAGCCTTCGTCTCTGCCGACCCCTCATTACTGTGGAGATTGCGCAGTGGTTAGTTAGTAGCGTGGATACTGACAAAGCGGATAGTGAAATTGCCGACTTCTCCTCGTAGTCTGGGGACCCTTCCCAATCGGGCAGGTGGACGCATTCCGAGTACTCCGATGAACCTAGGCAGAGATCGTACTATATACCAACGGCCGTCCTATTACTCTCTATCCATTTCTCCATGTCCACCACTCTAAATATATAAACCCATCCCGCAATGTCGCTCATCTTCTTCCACCACCCATTCCGTCCAAGATGACCCAGACAACAGTTCCCGCACCCGAGGACTGGCGCATTCTCGTCGCCCAAAAGCGCAAGCAACTTGACCAGCAGATCCCTACGGATTGGCGATTGAGCGAGGCTTTCATTTCGTCGCTGCCTAAAGATGGCCGCCTAATTGAAGCCGATGTCGCGCGCCGCAGTGGGATCCTGTCCGACGGGGAAGTCGACATCACGGAGAACTATTCTGCTGCTCAACTCCTTCAGAAGCTGGCTAGGGGTGAGTTGACCTCGCTGGCTGTCGCTACAGCATTCTGTAAACGGGCTGCAATTGCTCAGCAGCTGGTGAGTGATAGACTGTCACGTTATCGTCCCACTTGCTGATGTATCCAGACATCCTGCCTCACGGAGCACTTCTTTGATCGTGCCCTCGAACGAGCCCGCTACCTCGATGACTACCTCAAACGAGAGAAGAAAGTCGTCGGTCCACTGCATGGGCTTCCAATTAGCGTGAAAGATTCCTTCTGTCTGGAAGGAATACAGACTACTATTGGATATGTTTCGTTTCTCAAGAACCCTCCCGCCACCTCCAACTCTGCGTTGGTGAACATGCTCCTCGATATGGGTGCTGTTCTCTACGTGAAGACCAATATCCCGCAGACGATGATGGTACTACCTTACCAGCTATACCACATCAACGCATCTCACTAATCTGACCACAGACCGCCGACTCCGAAAACAACATCTTCGGCCGCACTTTAAACCCCCACAATACTGCTCTCACAGCCGGCGGATCCAGCGGCGGCGAAGGCTCCCTCGTAGCCTTCCGCGGCTCCATCCTCGGTGTAGGAACCGACATCGCCGGCTCCATACACGCATCCCATCTCTCTGCTGTGGCGTCTATGGGTTCAAACCCAGTGTGAACCGCATTCCATTCGGTGGCCAGGTCTCCGGTGCCGCCGAGGGGTGTTCCGGGGCTCGTACCCTCCGCCGGACCCCTAGCCCACACCCTGGGCGACCTGGAGCTGTTCATGTCTACGATCCTTCGCGCCGAGCCGTGGAGGTACGATGCCACTGCTTCCGGGGCGCCGTGGAGCAAGTCATGCGACGTGCCTGCCCTCCTGACTGTCGGCGTGCTCCCAGAGGACGAGCATTTCCCGCTGCATCCGCCTGTCCGCCGGGCGCTGGAGTCTGCTATTGCGGCGCTGGAAAAGAAAGGCCATCGCATCATTCGCTTGGAGAACGATCCCGCACGAGACATCGCGTACGCTTGCCGTCTTGCCTTCCAGTATTTCACCTATGGCCCGCATAAGGACCACATCGCGCCGAGCGGGGAGCCCCTCGTGCCGTCCGTGGCTCGGGGGGACTCGCCGATGTTCACGGGCCCGTTCCCCGTTGACCAGGAGCTGGAAGTGTTTGAGAAGATCAATGCCTTGCACAGCGCCAGGGCGGAATACAGCGACGCCTGGCGTCAGACGTGGGTTGAGAACGGGCTGGATGTGATCCTGGCCCCGGGGGCCCAGAACACCGCCGTGCCGCACGATACCTACGGGTGGCCTCCGTATACGGTCATTTGGAATCTGCTTGATGTAAGTATGCTACTTTTCTCAAAGCGAAGGTGGAAGCTAACTACTCAGTACCCGGCGTGTATCATCCCGTACGGCAAGTCGTCAATGGAGCTGGATCCAGAGCCGATGGAGTCGAAGACCAATCAACCGAGCTGTAAGTGTAAAGCATCCTGACAGTCAGGCTACGATACTAACTCTCCCAGACGACCCAGTTGCGCAAGATGGCGCTCCCTGCGCCCTCCAGATCATCACCCCGCACTTCCAGGACGAAAAGTGCCTGGCAGCTGCACGTATTATCGACCGCGACATCAGATCATAGCATAGCTCATAGCCAAGTAGAGTAGATAGGTCTCAGCAATACGAACGAAATACATGAGTCAATTCGCACACTCCGCTCATTCACTTCAGCTCAATTCCCATCCCCCGCCAAACCTGCTCATCAAACCCCTCCATGCACTCCCGATACTCTGCTCCAGCACCAACCCACCCCTTAATACCACCCTGAAGTACGAGACTCTTGATCGAGGAATCCCTGCGGTCCTCGAGATAATCCGCAAACCAATTCGCCGCTCTGGTGCCCCGACCAGCGGAGGAGCCTATCACCCATCAGTTCCCCATATCATAACTCGAACTATACTCGGTCCAGACACATGGACCAGGAAGACAGAAGACATACCGCAATACCAGAGGATATATTTGACTCCGCCTGCCGAAAGAAGCGAATACACTGTCGGCAGGGACGGATACAGACTCTGCGCGGGGAGGTTCAGAGACCCGCGGATTGTGCCGCCCTGTAGCCCTCAGTATTCTGTATGTATCATTTTCAGAGATGGAGGGACAGGTGAAGATGTACCTCGTGGTCATTGCGTCGGAGGTCAACCAACACATAGTCCTTGCCAGGCTCCTTGCCCTCACGCATCCATTGCAGGACCTCCTCGCGGGTGATGGATGCGGCGGTATTGCGGGGGGCGGGAAAGGCCGCGTGCCAGGGTTTCTCGGTGGATTCAGCCATGGTAGAAAGAGCAGTAAGGGTGTTATAGTCGATGCCTGGAGTGTTGATAGTTGATGAAATGGTCTTCCGATGTTGGCGGGGACCGTGGGGTTGTAGCGTCCAATAAGCCGAGGAGAGTGACATTCATCTGTAAACGTTCTGTTCGTCTATTGATCTACACAGTAAACAATGAACCATGTTCCAAAATATATATTGCCTACAGATACTAGAATGTCCCGACTGATAAATTACGATCATATCCGTGTCATGCGGATAAAACCGTACTCAAAGATCGTCGAGGGCGTCAACCATGTTCTCGTCTCATACAGGATATACCGAAGTATATGCTGTATCCAGCTCAAGATCAACCGAGGGAAGCAGAAGACCGAGCGAGGCAAGAGACCACAGTCTACATTGAAGCCCGGATTGCCGGGCGTGAGGGACCTTACTGGTGGTATCATAACCTGTTCAGTTCGTGATATAGCACATCGATTACCGGGTATCTATGAACCCTTGCACAGTGAACCCCTGATAGCGCCGAGTCAACCGAAATCAATACGCCACTCTTGTCCGCATGTCCTAAACAAATTGATTAGCATGACACATTTCCAAGTAAGGACAACAACTTACCGAGATCTTTCGTTCAATCTCACGCACGGAACGATCCAGATCCGCAGCAATCATCATTTTCGTGTCATTAGGCAGTAGGAAATACGTCTCACACAGATCACCGTCAATAACTCCCTTCACCGGTGCGTAATAGCTTCGGTAAATCAAATGGTCCCGTCCAGCGAGAGGAGGATGTTGAGATGCCAGCTGCATCTCCAGATTCTGGAAAAAGTCCACATCCTCGCGGCTGACAAATGGCACGAGCATTCCAATCGTGCCATGGAATCCAGTCCACACCAGGATATCCCGACCACCAGCCACAAGTTGCGTCTTGTGCAGACTGGTGGGGATATCCTGGGTGTAGACGTGGATCATCAGTTCGAGGCGGTTGGGTGTCCCGTGAAGATACCCCCGCTCGTGGATGAGATGTGCGCCAGATCCATCCTCGTCGGCCTGCTCGGAAACCTTCTTGGGGCACCGTACCAGCCATAAGTTGCCGAACTTGTCACCGCCTGCGACGGTTTCATAGTCCACCATGGTAGTAGATGTCGTCCACCGAGAGATGGAATCATCCACAAAGGGAATCAGGACATTCTCTTGGTACTTGTAGACCACATAAGTGACACTCTCGCGAACATCACTCACAACGATTCTGCTTCCTTGCGTTTGGAGGCCGACGATGGTTTTGGGGACCACATGGGCCTGGCATTTTCGAAGCAGCTGCTTCATTCCCAGGTCGTAAATACGAAGCAAAGAGCCGAGACCGACTGCAAGACGGCCCTGGAAGGCAAGCAGGGCAAGAGGCGGTTCTTCAACCTTCGTCTTGTGGATGAATTCAAGCTCCCTTCCATCCTCCTGGAAGCGGTAGATGTGAATGAAGCCACCTGCTGAGGATGGGGGGTTCACAGTCATATCCTTGACGGTTCCGACGACAAGAAAGGTCTCATCATCTTGACTGGTGAAAGGAACAGCCGCGACGCTGACGGCTGCCTCGTTATCCTCAAGTTCAACGGTATGGACGACTGCCTTGGCATCCAGCGGATCGACAACTTGGATGCAAGACGCCCAATGGCCAGTCGCACGAGGATATCCAAACTCTTCAGGAGGTAGGACAGTAGTGTCGCCATTCCGAGACTTAGAGTCTTCCAACAGTCTAGCTCTCGTGGATGGCGACAGAACGTTGTTATCCGATTCGATAACATAGAAGAGAGGTTGTTCTGGATGTTTCACGAAGCGCCTCGGGGTGTAAGAGAGGGGAATGGATTGTTGAAGCATATTGTTGTCAAGCTTCTCAATTGAAAAGATCCTGGGCATCTGTTAGTCGACATCGCCAGCAGAAAATTGAGTCATCATGTTGTAGGAGTTGTTGATCTCAGTAGGAACAATTGGAGATATTAACTTAAAGTTGGTTCCACATGGTTGTTCGGATTATATGTTCTCATCATGCGATCTGGTGTTGGGGAGTGGAAAGGGGAAAATGGAACATACCTAAGATTTTGGCCTTGAATTCCGACCATGCCCTCCAGGCACTGCTCGCTGGAGAAGTTCCATCCCCATTCCAGAGGCACATAATCCAACGGGGTAAGCATGAAGCCTTTGGTCTGGATGTCAGAGTATCCTAGCCATGGGCGAGAACTCAAAGCCAAGACAGCCGTTTGGCCCTTCACAGACACTTGGAACAGCTTCACGGGTTTCGATCCCAGGAAGCGGGTCCGAGTGTCTGAAAGCTCGCCGGTCACTTCGTCTAGAACAGTGCGAAGGTAGACACCAGAGTAAAGACCGATATGAAGATACAATGTTGTACCGCCTGAGCTGGAGTCCGCCATGGACATGATGTTCAGAGCAGAAGGGGCCGCCGTGAGGGCCTGGACCGACTTGTTTTCCAGTGTCGAGTCAGGGTCCAAGCTAAGAATACGAACCGTCGAGTCATCACAGCCAACAGCGAGGAATGAGCTTCGAATACGGCCCTCGGGCACCTCACCCAGACTCAGAGATGTCACGGTGCCGGACATTTGTCGGCGCTCATCGTATTCAGCGAGGGTACCATCAGCGTCCATTTCGAAGTAGACGATTTCTCCCGAGCTCAGGGCTACAGCGACCTGGCGTTCATTCGTTGCAGCAGCCACGATGGAACGGTGCTGGGGTGCGGGCCACTCGTTTACCCGGCGATCAACCATGATGTGACGGATACCTCTGGGGTGGATCTGGACCAAAGAATCCTCACCAAGCTGTTGAACAGCCAATGTAGGGGCTGATGAGAGGAAGCCAGTATCAGTAACTTCCTCCACAGTTTCACCAATGCTCAATACCAAAGTTCCGTTGGCAAAGGAAAGAATGATGTAGGCATCAAATTCATCCTCCCGAGTCAACTTAGTGGTCCAAACAGCAGAAGGCACGCTGGGGAGCTCGGATTCGACGATCTCAGAAACTTCCAAGCCATGCTTCAGGGTCCTGAAGGTACTCCGAGCACCTGCCCCAGAGATAGTGTAGATCTGGGGAGCATCCTCCTCCGAAAGGTTGGCGACCTTGCTGTCAATCAGCGGGTTCAATGAGTTGATTGTGTCGACAAGATTGAGGTTCTCCGCGCCTCTCGGTTGGAAATAAACCGGCTCGCAGGGCACGGAGGGATCAGCCGAAAAGTCTTCACTACTGAACTCAATTTCCTCATCGTCATCGCCCAGCTTCTCAAACTGGTAGAAGTGGTGGTTGCCAGCCTCACTAGCCACATACAGGAAGCCACTCTTCAGAATTAACAAGTTCGATGCAATAGGGACGGTATCAAAGTATTTGATCTTCAGTCTTTTGACTTCACCTGTCAATTGACCGTTGTCGTCCTCCATCATGTCAATGGTAAGTTTGAAGAGATCTCCATCCTCGGTTTGGAGAAGGAAGAAGAACGCTCCCCGCATCTTATGCATCACACCGGCTGTGATGCAGCGCTTACGTTCAGGGTTCTCCGTGGCGCCGCGACGTCGAGGAATCGGGACTCGGAAGGCATCTTGGTTGAGGTGTCGGTAGGTTACGTTGTCCTCCGCGCATACCAACACACCACTGGGACCATCGGCACCTCCGGGGACTTGGAACAGCATTGTCGCAGTCCGATCCACTGGGTCGGCCCATTTCCGGACGACGTGGTTAAGACCGAGATCAAGTTCGTAGTACACGAGCAATTTCTCCGTCTCTTCGAAAGCGCGACCCGTAGGATCCTGATCCGACTCGGAATAGTCCACTTCCAGTGCGGCGAACACCGGGTTTTCATACCCAACATCCAGCGCGCACATGGCAAAGACCAGCGTCTGCGGCTTGTGGGCTTCAAGCGGCGATGAGATCGTCAGCTCGGCCTGCGAGTTTCGATTCAAAACATAAACCAGCTTGTTCTTCTCCACGGATGCGATAATACACGCGCGACCCTTGGGATCCACCGCCAGATACTGGCCGGGGATCACCCGGCGGACACCGGACTTGCCGAACGTCTCCAGATGAATTCGGTTGAACCGGTTCTGCGAGGGCACATACTCGATAATGGTAATGCGTCCGGAGTCCGAGCCAATAATGATATAATCTAAAGGGACCATATGTTCAGCACAGTTCGAAGACTACCGCATAGCGTCAACGAGGCCGACCGGGGGCACGTCCCACTCTCCGGGGACTGTCTCGGCAGACAAGGATCGTGCTGCCCGGAAAGCTTGAAGAATCACTAAAATGATCTTGGAATTGCGCGAGAGGGAGAACATCCTAACATACCTTTATTACTTCCAGCCAGTCGAAAAGCCGCCAGGGAACGAATGATGCCAAATACATCCTGCGAATAGATCGGAGTGACCTTCCCTTGCGTGGGGTCGGGACGGTGGATGGTGAGCTTCGAACCCGACGCGGTGACGATCTGTTGCTCCTTGGTTCCCGCGAATTGGCCTAGAATCGCTTGGGTGATGGCGGTCGGAGGTTGGATCGTCAAGGAGTACATGAACATATGCGAAGTGGTCGCCATGATGAAAGCTTAGGCTTGGGTTTAAGCCAATGACACCGGAAAAAGCAGATGTAGAAACGGTGTGTTTACGGTATTGCAGCAGCCACGAGGACGGGACTTTAGAGTGAAGTCACTCCCATTGCTGCCGGGAGAGAGGATGAGATAGAGGACTCTCGAGATCGAGTGTCCTCGCGGGGGTGAGAATTCAGGGGGAGGGGGAGTGAGGAGGAGGAGAAAGAAGTTGCGAGGGTACCGGGAGGTTGAGGGAAAAAGGTGAAAATTCCGGTGGGAAAGAAAGAGGAAAGAAGCTCGACGGGTGTTTGTCTAGTTTGCACTGTCACGTGGAGTTGCTCTTCGTATCGGGTAATTTACGACAAGGCGGACGATGCGATTCTGCCCGCTTCCACTCCTATCGGCATTATTACTACTGGTGTTCATTATTCACTGACACCATATCTCCATCGTCTTTAATTTCCGTTACCTCCATCTAACATCTCTTCTGTTATCAACATCTCAATATCTCTTCCCCTCACATTCTCCCTTCTTCCTCACCCCAATTTCTATCCTTCTCCGCTCCGTCCTCCACTGTGTGACGTGATTCCCTGACGCCGTTACCTCGGCCCCCCGAATCTCATTCGCCCCTCTTCGCTTCGAGGTCACAACTGATACATATTATGGCTGACGACACTGCCGGGGCGGACGAGACCCCCATCACCTTCAACGTCAAGTCCTCCAATGACGCCAAATTTACCCTCACTCTGCCTGCGTCCACGCCTGTATCCGAGCTTAAGGAGAAGCTTGCGACGTCGGAATATGCTGACACTCCGGCCAGTCGCCAACGACTGATCTACTCCGGTCGGGTGCTGAAGGATAACGAGACGCTGGCCACATATAAAATCAAAGATGGACACACCATCCACCTGGTGAAGAGTGCAGCGAGCAATCAGCAGCCTGGTGGCTCGTCTCAGAGTGCTTCAACCTCTGCGCCCGCTGGTGCCGCCGCCACTCCTTCCGCCGCTGCTGGGGTCCCCACCAATCTTGCTGCTGGTACAGGCAACAACCCGCTCGCGGGCCTGACGGGTGCGCGGTATGCCGGATTTGCACAGCTCCCCGGCGCAGGGCTGTTCGGTCCTGATGGTGGAGTGAGTTTACCATTGCTGTGATGTTTCTTGTTCTACATTCAACCTATACTGACGCGTGGTATCTAGATGGGCCCTCCTCCTAATGAAGAACAAATGCTCAGCATGCTCGAGAATCCTCAATTTCAATCGACGATGAATGAGGCTCTCCAAAACCCCGCGATGATCGACATGATTCTTCAACAAAGCCCATGGCTGCGGGAAATGGGACCTCAGGCGCGCCAGATGTTGCAGAGTCCAGAGTTTCGGCGAATGATGACAGACCCGAACGCCATCCGCCAAACGATGCAAATGCAGCGAGCGCTCGGCGGCTTTGGTCTTGGTGGTGATCGTGGTAGTGCATTCCCCGCCCCCGGAGTGACCAATACGACCCCGCAGGAGAACCAAGGCGGCCAGACTGGCAATTCTACAAACAACAATGGCGCCTCTCCTGCTCCCGGTGCTGCCATGCCCAACCCTTTTATGCCTATGGGCTTAGGCGCTGGCAATCCATTTGCTGCCCTTTTCGGTGGCAACCCCGCGATGGGCGCCAACCCTTCTGGCACGCCAAACACAGCTACAGGCACTGGCAATACTTCGGGAGAAGCGAATCAGGGCACTGGTGGCTCCACGACTACTGCAGAAGGACAAGGACAGCCCAATGCGGCGAATGCGGCGAATCCCTTCGCGTCTCTGTTTGGACCTGCTATGCTTCAGGGCGGAGGGAATCCGTTCGACCTCCAGAATAACCCTCTCTTTCAGAATCCTGAACTCATGCGGCAGGCCCTGCAGAGACTCTATGGCACTGAAGGGGCAGCTGGCGGCGCCAATCCCTTTGCGTCACTCCTTGGAGGAAGCGGTTTTGGCAGTCCCCCTCCCCAAGACAACCGACCGCCGGAGGAGAGGTATGCAGACCAGCTACGCCAACTCAACGACATGGGATTCTTTGAATTTGAGAGAAATATTGAAGCGCTTCGACGATCGGGTGGCAGTGTGCAGGGTGCAGTGGAGTACTTGCTGAGCGGTCCGTAGAAGGATGCATCTTTGTTTGTACTTGGGGGGCGGGTTGGAACCCACATTAATCGACGTTGATACAGGATGCACAGTATTAATGACTTTGCAACGACAAGTGAATATGAATGATTGCTTGCATACATCTTCTCTCTATTCTGTTAAAGGAGTACTAGTACTTATTTAACTAGTTACGGAGTAGGCTATGCTTAGTCACTTGCGGACCCAATTTTCTCCGGTCAGCTGCTAACCGGATTTGGAGAGAATGCTCCGCTGTTCGATTGCTTTCGCCTCGTGCGAGACCCTATCTGACCTCGCATTATTGACCTCTCCATCGCTTCCCCTGATTCTTTGGACTTCTCCCGGCTCCTTAGGCATTGACTGCCTCTTCCACTCGTTACCTCTGTCCAACCCGTTGTCATCCGCAGCCCACTGTGTCTATCGCATTCTGGACGGTGAGATCCCTGCTGATCCACGGCTAGTCTGCCTCGAAACACGCCCAAGACTCCTGTCATCCGGACATCGCTGTCCATTTCCTTACTTTCATCGTGCACATAGCTATTATCTCGTACTACTGTTTTAATTCGATTCATCTGACACCATCGGCTCGACGGGCGAGCACACCGAATTTACGCTAGGTTGATCTACATCCGTGATTGTCGTACCCGCCACGTAGGGTGCATGCTTGCGTGATTGCATCTGAATCTCGGGAGCGCGGTCAGGTCCCCTCTGTCGAAACGTAGCGATGGAGATGGGACGGTTTTGGAGTCTCCATCGGTGGACGCTATGGCTCTTGTTTGCTTCCTACGCCTGCGCGTTCTACATACCTGGTCAGTTAGCTAACCCTGAATCCACCTTCGTGACTAACCACCTCTTTCGGGCCATGCAGGATATTCTGTCAAGCGGTACAATGACGACGAGCCGATTCCTCTCCTCGTCAACAAAATCTTCTCCGACCATACGCAACTGCAATACGCTTACTATGATCTGCCCTTTGTCTGCCCCCCTAGTGGGCGTTCGCACGGCGGCTCGCCCTTCGGCTCGGGCCAAAGTGTGTCGCTGAACCTGGGCGAGATCCTCCGCGGCGACCGCATCATGACGTCGGACTTTGAACTCCATATGGGCAAGAACGTGGAATGTCAGGCGCTGTGCACCCAGGAGGTCGGGCGCAAGGACGTCAAATGGGGCCGCCAGCTCATCAAAGAAGGATATGTGGCGGAATGGATCGCGGACAACTTGCCTGGCGCGACGAGTTTTGTCACCGTCGACCGCAGTCGCAAGTACTACGCGACGGGATTCAAGCTCGGGTTCCAGGAGTTTTCCCCGATCGATGGCAAGCGCCGCTTCTACATCAATAATCACTTCACTATTGTGATCCGCTGGCGGTCTGCTCCCGAGGGAGGCAAAGTTATTGTTGGGTTTGAGATCTATCCGAAGAGTATTCGCGCGGAGGATCATGAAGAAGGCGGCTGTCCGAAACACGTCCACGAGCACCATGACGGGCTCGAGTTGTACATTCCCCCGAACACGGCCCGGCTGCGGGAGATGTACCCTGGGTCGTCGTATATTCCGGAAGATGACGACGAGATCGATGACGGTGCGACATTGAAGATCCCCTACACGTACTCGGTGTACTTCAAGGAGGAAAACGGCATTGACTGGGCGAATCGCTGGGATCTGTATTTCAGCAACCAGGCCGAAGGGTCTGTGACGCATTGGCTGGCCATTGTTAATTCGCTGACCATCTCTGGCGTGCTTGGTGTGGCGGTGTATGTCATCTGGAACCGCACCGTGCAGGGTGACATTAAGGGCCGCGGCGACGGAGCCCTGGACGAGGCCAAGCTGAAGGCGCGCAGCGCAGCCAAGCTGAAGGATCTCGAACGCAAAGGCGACGGGCTACTGGACCAAGGCAATGACGTGGAACGGGATGCCGATCTGTCGTCGGAGGATGAGAACCTCGAAGACGTCAGCGGCTGGAAACTTCTCCACGGGGACGTGTTCCGCGTGCCCGAGTACAGCGGACTCCTGGCACCGCTCGTCGGATCTGGCATGCAGCTGCTGTTCATGGTCTCTGGGCTTTTGTTCTTGAGCTGCCTGGGCGTGTTGAATCCCAGTTTCCGTGGGGGATTTGTCAGCGTCGGCATGGGTCTGTTCGTTTTTGCTGGACTGTTTTCTGGATACTTTTCGGGACGCTTGTACAAGACCTTTGGCGGTGCCAACTGGCGGAAGAATACGTTGATTGTAAGTTTACCCGATGGATATGGATGATGTGTGGTTGCTAACTGGTCAGACCGCTCTGTTCTTCCCTGGATTGGCATTCTGCCTCATCTTCATTTTAAACCTGTTTGTCTGGGCTCAGGCATCCAGCACGGCGATTCCTTTCGGCACGTTGGTCAGTCTGGTTGCGCTGTGGCTGTTGATCCAGGTTCCGCTGGTGTATGTGGGCAGCTGGTTCGGGTACGTGCGGGCGACACCGTGGGAGCACCCGACCAAGACGACATCGATCGCGCGTCAAATCCCGCCGCAACCATGGTATCTGCACAGCATCCACGGCACGGTGATTACTGGCCTGGCGCCGTTCGCGGTGCTGTTTATTGAGCTGCTGTTTGTGTTTAAGAACTTGTGGCAGGACAAGAGCGGATACTACTACGTGTTTGGGTTTTTGAGCGCAGTGACGACGATTCTGATGGTGACGGTGAGCGAGGTGACGGTGATTGCGACATATAGCCAGTTGTGTGCGGAGGTGAGTCGATCTATCGAGCGAGGATTGAATTCAGCTGACATGGACAGAACTACCACTGGTGGTGGCAGAGTTTCCTGACGGGCGGCAGCAGCGCGTTCTGGGTGTTTGCGTACTGCATCTGGTACTACTTTTTCCACCTGCACATTACTGGGTTTGTGTCGAGTCTGCTCTTCTTCAGCTACAGCTTCCTGGCGTGTGCGGTGTACGGACTTTTGACGGGCACCGTCGGGTTTTTGACGGCGTATGCGTTCATCCGCCGGATCTACAGGTGAGTTGCAATGAGGGATTTGGCGAGGACATGGGCTAACTGGAGCAGCGCGGTCAAGGTTGATTGAGAAGGGTCGATGGCAATGGACCTGGAATGGACAGGTCATTGAGATTTAGGTGAAACAGCGGAGATGAAGACGGGATTGAAGTTTGAGCGACAGCATGAATTTCTTAGAATGGTATATATTAGCGGTGTCAATGCAGCGTTTGGTAGCACTTGGCGCGGAACCAGGTAGATCGGTAAGCAGGTAGACCGCTACGTAGGCAGACGCCCGCTGGCCAGGGCTCTCGCCAAGACCGCATTCCGTCGCAGCAAGGCACAGCGACACAGGGATGAGACGGAGAGGACAGCGGAGGGATGATGACGGAACGTGGGTACGGAGGACGGAGGCCTTGCACGGGTCATTCGTGGAATCCGACGCCCCTTGATGGCGTGCTCGGGCGGCGAGATGATGACTTGGCGATCTGAGACTGGGGCTGCTGATCCAGGGGGGTAAGACAACTTGTTTGAATATCATCTGGGTGATTACCTGGTAGTGAGGAGCCGGAGTATGGAGTAGATCGTCAGTTAGTACGGTAGTAAGTCATAGTTAGTTACAGAGTGGTTAGTTAGCTATCTACGGAGGACATAGTATGGCGGGTCAGGAAGCTTAGCTGGGCCGCAAGCGGAGCTTCGGTCGATCTTCCAGAAGACGATCAAGTATTATTCTTATTATTCATCGGACAAAGAAGGGTACGTCAGCTGGCGGATGCAACGGCCGGGCGATGGTGATAGGATGTGCGGGGATGATGCCATCGATCCGCGGGATTGGGAGAGCGCTACTGCAGGAGTGCATTAGCCTTCTTTTATAATATTTCTGGGAGCTGATTTTACTCCGTACTGTACATGGTAACTACCAGTTCTCTCGTTGAAACAGGATGTTCAGGGGAGTAGCTATGTGATCTTCATAATGAATACAACTAAGTAGACGATAATGAGCATGTGACTCTTTCCCTGATCCAACAAGGAATAATAGGCCGATAAGCCGGAATCAGCCGGGTGCACTGCCGAGGCCAATCACCAGCCGAGGCCATGCCAAGTGCGCCAAGACGGCGCTAGTGGAGACCGCAACCGGACTAGCCTGTTTCTAGCCTCATTTTAACGTCTAGAAAATTCAGGAGTCGGAGTATGAGTACATCCAGAGTAAAGAGTGTCGGTAGAGTATGGAGTAAGAGGATGGTGTGGAATAGATTGATGTCTGAGGTCATCAGAGTACAATGGAGTATACGTAGTAAGAGACTTCTGATGGACCGCGTGGCAGTGGCGAATCTTCTTTCTCCGATCTCGAGTCCTATCAGATCGGCGGGTGCTTCCCTCGGATTCCATCACCTACGACTGCTGGGACAAAGGACGGAGTAGATACGAGTAGATAGATAGATAGAATTGTCCATGCCTTGTATGGGCGCAGAATCCTGTCCAACTGTCCAGCACGCATCCCTGCTACAGAAGAATCAATCCCAGAATCTACTCGTCATCAATCACCGCGTCATACAGCACCGCCCGTCCTCCCCCTACATCCCCCAGCAATCACACCATCGTCTCCACGGATGGTTCCATTATTGCGGTGACATCCTTTAGCGTCCGCCTCCGCGATTACGGGGAGCCCTTTGCCTTTGGCCCTTAGCCCTTTCAGCAAATTTTTCTGGTTCCCCCCTACAACTACTTATTGCCACTTTTTCCTATCTTCCTCCCTTTCTTTCTTCTATCTTTCTCTCTGTCTCTCCCTTTCGAAGGCCTCATCCTCCATCTTTCTCCCTCTCTGTATAAGGCTCTTCGTTGTATACACTCGGCACCATGGCCGCCAAAAAACCCAACATCCTCTATATCATGGCCGACCAGATGGCCGCCCCTCTGCTGGCCTTTCATGACAAGAACTCTCCCATCAAAACCCCCAATCTCGACCGGCTGGCCGACGAAGGCGTCGTCTTTGATTCCGCCTACTGTAACTCGCCGCTGTGCGCCCCCTCGCGCTTTGTGATGGTGACCGGCCAGCTGCCCTCCAAGATCGGCGCGTACGATAACGCCGCCGACCTGCCCGCCGACACGCCCACCTACGCGCACTATCTCCGCCGCGAGGGCTACCACACCGCGCTGGCCGGCAAGATGCACTTCTGCGGCCCCGACCAGCTGCACGGCTACGAACAGCGCCTCACCAGCGACATCTACCCGGGCGACTACGGCTGGTCCGTCAACTGGGACGAGCCCGACATCCGCCCGGACTGGTACCACAACATGTCCTCCGTCATGGAGGCCGGCCCCGTCGTGCGCACCAACCAGCTCGACTTTGACGAGGAGGTCATGTATAAGTCCACCCAGTACCTGTACAACCACGTCCGCCAGCGCTCCGACCAGCCCTTCTGTCTGACCGTCTCCATGACCCACCCGCACGACCCCTACGCCATGACCAAGGAGTTCTGGGACCTCTACGAGGACGTCGACATCCCGCTGCCCACCACGCCCGCCATCCCGCACGACCAGCAGGACCCGCACTCGCAGCGCGTCCTCAAGTGCATCGACCTCTTCGGCAAGGACATGCCCGATGAGCGCATCCGCGCCGCCCGCCGCGCCTACTACGCCGCTTGCACCTACGTCGACTCCAACGTCGGCAAGCTGCTCAGGTTCCTCGACGACTGCGGCCTCCGCGACGACACTCTCGTCGTCTTCACCGGGCGACCACGGCGTCATGCTCGGTGAAGATGGCCTCTGGTATGAGATGAACCAGTTCGAGGTTTCCGGCCGCGTGATCATGATCGGTAACCGCCCATGCCGTTTTCTCCCCCCAAGTAAGGTTTCCAGAAAGTTGTGTTCCAGGGGCATGGTATTTTTTTTTTCTACTTCGTCTCCGGTTCTCACCTCATGCGAAGACTTACACTCAATAGGGTTCGTTTGTGGTGTTAACGAACTATATAAAAACACTTTTATTCTTTTTTTTTTTT